AGTCCCCTCTCCCACCTCCCTCTGCTCCGGGCTCTTAGGAGGGGTCATAGTTTAGGATATCCCCTTTTAGCTACAAATAATGATTTTAGGTTGAAACCTAAAGATAAATCAAACCAAACTACTATCCCCTCAGGAAAAGTAGATTCAAATTGCTGCACAATTTTTTATCTAAATAATATTTAAATTTTAAAAAGGGGGGAGAAAAACTAATTACATCTTTGTGTGGAAGATCATAAATCACATAATTACAATAGGAACTTTCCAACGGACCAAAAGCAGACTACACAAGTTCTTATCTCATTACTGTTTAATTAAGAATTATGTTTGAGCATCTTCTTTTTAATTATCACGGAGCCCAGATGACTTCTAATCTCCTTTTTACCCAAAATGAGGGAAGGTGCAGTCCAAAATGGGCACTAATGAATTTACAATTTGCTCTTTGGGGAACCTTAATAAAATTTACTCCACACATAAGATTAACACTGATAAAGTGAACTTCCAAAAAGAACATTTGGTTCCTTTCAATTGGCACCACACGAGTGTCAGGAGCTGGGGGGATGCAGAGGGGTCCCTTCCTGGGGAGTTTCACACACGGACCTACCTGTGACTGCACCTGCAGCCCAAAAACACATCCAGGGCCAGCAGGGCTGGGGAAATGGGGAGAGGAGAACTGGGGAAATGGGGAGAGCAGGGCTGGGGAAATGGGGAGAGCAGAACCTGGAGCTGTGTCTGTGAAAGGCAGGGACACCTCCCACTGCCCCCGGCTGCTGGATCTGTGCCAGGGCCTCACCCCTCACAGGGAGCAATTCCCTCCCAAAATCCCATCCAGCCCTGCCTCCGGCTGTGGAAGTTCCATGTCCCGCCTCTGAACATGAGGAGAAAATTTCCCCTTCAAATGTTTTCCCTCTGAGGGCTGTCCAGCTGGCCCTGTGACCCGAGGGGACAAGCTGCCAAGGGCACACACAGAGATACAGATTTACACACAGGTGAGGGGTTGTTTAAGCCCAGCACACAGCAAATACCTTTTAATTCAATTGGCTGAATCGACACAGAGAGATTATTAGTTTTCAGTAAGATTTGATTCAATTAATTAGCCTGAAAATATCAGCACAGCCAGGCAAGCAAAGAAAAACAGAGATAAATCCCTGCCATGGCGCTGCCTCATTTTTAAAGGCAATTAACTCTTAGTTATTAGCTTTTAATTAGGGAATAATAATGACACCATTAATACAGTTTATTATACTTGTCAGCAGACAGCTGTTCCAACCAGATTCTATTATCAGATCTTGGCTTTTGTCTGCTCCTTGCAGGGGAGGGGAGGCAGAACCGGGGGTCCCTGGTGAAGCCAGGGCTGGTTCCCCCTCCCAGCCCTGCCCAGGGGTGCAGCAGAACATCAGCTCCCTGCCAGAGGAGGCTCACACAACTCCCGGGGCACCTGTGCCCGTCACTGCTGCTGCTCACAGCACAGCTTCACCACGCCCATGTCACCTACAGGTGTGTCACCACTCCGGCCTGAGCACAAACACCTGAACCCCAGCCTGGAAAAATCCCAAGGACATCTCTCACTCCTGAGAAAAACTGCAGGGAAATTTACTGGGACAAAATGGACCAAGCCCTTGATTTGGGAGTATGATAGAAGTGAGAGAAATCACAGCATTTAACAAGCAGCCAATTGTCTGTGAGCTGAATTAGTGAAAATTGTGATGATAAACTGCTCCTGGAACCCAGACCTATCCCCGAGCTGAGGGATCTCACACAGTTGTGCTCAGGCAGATTTTTCACTTCGTGCTGACAAAAATCTCACACTAATCGCCCAAGCCAGGCCACAAAGCTCCTGGATTGCAGCGTTAATTCCATGTCACAGCTGAATCCCAGATTAGTCAGACACGTCTCCAGCTCCAAGTGGTGCTGAGCTGCTCAGGTAACAGAGAGAAGGAAAGCTCAGCTCTGAGCAGAGCCACGAGGAAATCAGACTTGCAGCAGAGCCTTCTCCCACCTCGTGGCTTCTCCACACAGAAAAGTGCCCAGCGACCCTTCTGCACCTGCAATCAACTCAGATTCATCTCTTTAGTCAGGCACATGAATCCCTGCTCCTCTCTGGCAGCAGCTTGGCCTGGATCATGGGTAACTGACCATTCACTCCTAATCAGAGACAATTTGCTGCATTTTCCAGAGATGGCTCCGTTCAGTGAAGCAGATGAGCGGTGGATCTGGCCATTCCTGTATTTTTAAACCCCGATCTGGGGCACAGGGGGGGCCTCTCTCCTGTCTCAGGGACAGACTGGCTGCGAGCTCGTTTGCTAGGGGGTGTTAGCAGCTGGCATCTGCAATGGCAGGGCTGGGGTGGAGGGGTAAGCCACAGTGAACCGGGCTGAAACAGAGCCCAAATCCTGTTTGTTCCACAGGAAAAGTGGTTAAGCTGTGGTCACTGTGTAGCTCCAAACAGTATTTGCACAGTGACCTTTACATTTCCCCTCTTGGAAACCAAAAAATTTAATTGTTTTGCTGCTCTCATGCAGAATAAATAACTCCCAGTGCTTTTCTACTGGTGAGCAAGTAACCCAAGGACTTATCTTCTGCTATCAAAGCTGCCAAATAATTCTGTGTCAACAGCTCCAGCTCATTTGAGTCTCAGGATTGTGCCAAAACTGCGTTTTTTGTGTGTCTGTGCCAGCAGCCTCAGGGGACAAGGAACAAGATGTGACCTGAACTTGGGGCTGGAAATCAGGAACCCACAGGGGCTCCTCGGGAATCTCTGCCCTGGAGTCCTGAGCAATTTGTTCACTCTGTCCCTGTAACTTCGGGATCACCGCGGGTCCCACCTGTGCCAGGTGCCCTGGCTCGGACACTGCTGGCATTGCAAGGGTTAAACCCACTCCTGTGACAACAGCCAGCCCTGCTGGCATTCCCGGGGACCCTCGGGCACCCCAGAACCTCCCGAAACCCCCCCGGGCACCCCAGAACCTCCCGAAACCTCCCCGGGCACCCCAGAACCTCCCGGGCAGCCCCGGCCGTGCCCGTCCCACCTGCGGGGCCGATCCCCCTGCCCGAGCCCCTGCTCAAACATCTCCAAAGACACCCAGCTCCTGCTGCAGCCACAGCCTGGACCCCAAAACGCTCTGCAGGGGCTGTAAATTCCAGGAGTTCCTCCCCACTGGGCGATTCCTCGGATCGTGTCAAGGAAAACTGTAAAGCTGCAAAAGCCTGGAAGTTGGAGATTTCTTTCACATAACCTGCAGCACCAGCCTCATCCTGCAACTGGAGAGGAATTCATCAAAAAGCTCAGGATGGGAAATGAAAGATGAGGGAGATGCTGTTCGAGGAGGTTCAATGACCTCCTGCTGCACAAAAGACTTCAAACTTAGAAATGAAGAGACTTGAACCCCCCAAAAAGTGTCATTATGAAATGCTCAACAGCCTTTAATTCACTTTGAACCTAGAGGCAGAGAAAAAAAAGGCAAAAAATACATCACAGCCTTAGTCTAGGGGGAGAAAGAAAAAAAAAAATCATTATTTTTATAGCACATAATCAGACATTTACAAATGTATTTCACTGGAGGAAGGGGTAGGAATGTGCATTTCCTATTTCCTTTTCAACTGATGCCCAGAGACCATCGATATGGCCACTATCCTGAATCTGCACAAGTCATTCCTAAAGCAAAAAGAGGGATTTAAAAATCAACAAAAAGAGAGAAAACCCTTGCACCAAGGAAGGGCATTCAACAGTTCCAGGTTCATGTTTTAACATAACTCAGCATCTGAATATGGGGTGAGGAAACACACTTCTGTTTTTACAATATAAATAGTATTTGGAAAAGGTACTACATATGGATACAGCAACGGTGCTATTGCAGGACTCGAACATGCAGAGGAAATTCCCCGTCACTCACAACCACTCATCCCATCCCACCCTCCCCTCCCACCTCCAAAAAAAATCCTCTGCTGGTTAAATTTCTCTTTCAATTGTTTTAAATATTTCTCTCATGGCCTGGCAACATTCTTAGTCTTTTATACAGCAAGTTTTCTATTGAATCACATTTTAACCGACAGGAGACAGCTCTGTAGGAGGAACAACCGAGGCTCGGGAGAACCTTGCCAATTTTTTAAACTTTTATTAGTCTCAGTTTGGTTTTATTCGTGGAGACATCTACTGAAAACGTCAAAAACTCAGAACTAAAGAAACCCAAAAGCAGAACCCCGTTTCCAAGGTCTCACAACCACGCCCGCGCAGCCACGCACACGAAAAGGACCCGTAGCAGAGGCAGGAGAAAGGATGGGAACTCCAATCCTCAAGGGAGAACAAAACCAAAGTAAAAAAAAAATTAAATTGCTTTATTCTATCTCCACTCTTTCACTAGGACAGTTTAATACCCACGGAGTCTCTTAAGATGCTAATCTACCATCTGCTAGCCCACAAATCCTTCCCACTTATTCCCTTAAAGATCCAGCCAGAGTGTTTCTTAACAGCCTCTCCCGGAACAACGACCACCTTGCAAAGGGGCTTAAAAATAATAATAAAAACGAGAATATTGTCTCTCTCCATCCAGTAATTTCAGGAAATTAAGTGGAAAAGATTGCAGTGCAGCATTCCAGGTCGCTCGCTGGTCCGGAGGGTGCGGAGGGAGGGAGGGAGGGTCCGGGATCCCTCTCCCCCCGCACCTGAACCTCGGCAGGGTGGCACAGCCCCTGTCCAGGCCGGGCCCAGCACTGCCTCCTGTCCCTCCAAACTGAGCGAGGTCCTCCAAAGACAGCAGAACTTTCCAGTGACCTCGGCAGCGTTTGCATCGGGCTCTTCCCCAGCACCGCTCCACATCAGCTCCTCGGGATTTCCAAGCGTCCAGGTGGGAGCTGCCCACTCAACACTTCAGGGTTTGCCTTGGATGCTCCTTCACTCCTCAGGGAGCTGAGTCCAGTCAAAGGCAGCGCTTGCACTTCTCTTCCCCAGCAGAAACTACAGGCTCAGTCTTTACTTAAGGAAAGGATGTCACGACAATCAGATGTTTGGGGAATTTCTTCTTTAATAGGATAAAAGAAAAACATACAAACACCTCCCAAGCTTCTGTCATGGAATGATTCTCACACTGGAAGGAGCACAACTCAAAAAAATAAAAAATAAAAAAAGAGAGAAAGGAAAGAGAAAAGCTCCTAAGGGAGAAGTGCTGGAGCCGGCGCGGCTCGTAGGGAGCGAACACAAGCAGCAACAGAACACTTGCCAAACCAGGGTGGCACACTGGAACTCAAAGCCATGCTGATCCTGAACTAGAAAGCAACTGTGATGGCAAAGATGGGGAAGGAAGATGATGGGAATGACCCAAACCTGGCCATTTCTTCCCTAAGCCCCTCCCTGGTGCTGAGGCAGCGATGCCAACATCCATCCCAGGGCTTCCAGAGAGCCAACGGTAGAAACGTCCCAGCTGTGAACATTTCTTCCCCCACCTTCCCCAGCTTACAAAGATAGTGTTTCTTTACAAAAGAAGAACCCAGAACATTCCAGGACATCTGCTCTTACTCTCCCTCTCCCCGCTGTAACATCAGTCACAATTCATTTGGGGGTGAGGAGGGAGGATTTAATTTATTTTCTGTTTTAAAGCCATAATCTAGAAAAATGTTTAGTGGAAACTTTCGTTTTCCTATTTTTGCTTGATTTTTTTTTTTAATAATGCTCATTCATAGAAAACTTCACAAAGGTGACGTCTATGTACAGAAAACACAATTCCAAAGGCTGCTTCAGTAGTCAATGTAATAGCACCTTGAAAGACAAAAGTTTGACAGATTTGAAAAAGTCCTTTTGTTAAATTTTAACCCTATCCTCATATAAAAGAACCAGTCACAAAGCTCCATCTGTAGAAACTCTTCCAAAGTCTCCGTGTGAAAAGCTGAAGGGTTTCCAAGCTCCCCAGCTCTTGGTCAGCAACTCCTGGCAAGGTCGAGGTAGCGGCCAGACAGGGATTTCCTGCAGTCCAAACCAAGAGGAGATGAAAGAAATTCACAGCAGACTATTGCACAGGGCTGGTCTTCCATTCCACAGTTTCCTATTTATTTTTCCACAAACTCAAAAAGGGTTAATTGAATCTTTTGAATGAATCCTGGTTAAAACATGTTGCTCTGAGTCCCAGGCTGGTACTGTGTCTGCAACAGGCTCTCCATAAAGGCCAAGTAATCTGGGGTTTGTCCATATTCTTCAGGATTTCTTGGATTCCCCAGCCGGGGACGCTTGGCTGCTCTCACTTCATCTCCCGAAAATACATCTTCCTGAGGGGCCCCAGTGCTGAGGGACTGCAGGAGACACAGAACAACCATTAGGGGCACAGCAGGAAAACAGGGAGAGACCCACAGTCCCCTCGGGCTGGGAACAATCTGGACATGCTCCAGCCCCATCCCCTGGTTAAATGAAACGGCCTTGAAGGGTAAAGCACCAGAACTGAAAACAGCCTGCAGGTCTGGAACCAGAAAAAAGCTATGAAATAAATCCCTCATCTTTTCTAGTAATTCCACTGCATGCACTTAAAGACAGCCTGATCTTGTAGATTAAGAGATTTATAGGTAAGAGCCACACTCTCAGTCTCCAGTTTGGTGAGAAAAGGGGGTTTGGTCCCACGGTGATAATCAGTTCTCCAGAAACCCCTGAGCTGCAGCCCAGCTCACCTCACACTTGGACAGGATGATTCCATATAACTGAATTCATGTGGTGTCAAATGATCTGAACATAATCTTTTAACCAGAGAAAAGAAAACTCTGGGCTGAACACATGCAAGGGAAAATAATTTCTGTGCCTCTTGAGCATTCATGGCCAGGATTTCTTCCACCCTGTGTATTTTGGGAATGACAAGCAGTTTTACAGACACGGAAACTGGAGGCTGCATTCACCTAATGTCTAAAAAATACATGAAGAAAATGTGAAGGGTTCTGCAAGCTGCAGCTGGTTTATTGTTTGCTATTTTGGTACCCACCAGGCGAGACTTGACTCTCTTGGGAAGCTCTTCTTCCAAGGTATAAATATCCCCACGCTTTACCATTAGCTGGGAGCCATCTTCAAACTCCACCTGCAGGGAGGCAGGAGATGAACTCAGAGCCAGCACCTGCACAGCCCATTCCCAGCCTGTGCCACAGCTGGGCCCTCCAGAACCCCCAGGAAGGGGCCAGCCCCAATGGGTGTCTCCAGGGCTGCTGTGGAATGAGCACTCCAAGCTCTCCTGAGGATGCTGAACACAGAAAGTGCAGCTTTCAGTGCTGTTCAGGCACCTCTGTCTTATCCAATGGATTCATTCAGTGCTCCGTGGATCCCAAAATATCTGTACTCCAGCTGGCCCAGCACCTCACATTTCTACTGATTTTTGATTCATATCCTGAAAAAAGCAGCTTTTCACTTATAATAAAAGCAGCCCTGTATTCAGGCCAATATGGTAATAAGAATTTCTTTCATCTTAAACAAAGCATTTTCACAGGTCACAAGGAAACAACTCCAGCTACTAAAGTACATTTGTATTTCAACCAGCAGAAGTAGTCAGCCAGGTACAAAAAACTCCTCCCATGAAACCCTTTTTGCTAAGCACTGATTATATCATGAATTATGCATCAGACGTTCCAGGGATGTTTATTCATGGAAACGTGCACAGCAAAATGTTAAAACTATTAAAAGTTTTTCAGGGATTCTTATTTCCTTTGCCCAAGACTTTAATACGCTTTTCTGTATAAAGCAGAAGGACACAGAGCACAGTTTAATAGAGGTGTCAAGTTCAGGCTGGACAAACTCAGAGGGAATAAATCATCTGTGCTCCCAAATCCTCCCACTGCTCTGCCCAGCTCCAGCCCATCCCTGGGGCAGGCTCAGCTCTCCCAGGGCTGGGGTCCCTGTGCCACACTCACCTGGTAGATCTGACTGATCTGGGCTGCGATGAACTTGGCCTTGTAGATGATCCCGTCCGTCCACTGCAGCTGCACCAGCTCCCCCTCGGGAGGGGGCCCCATCTGGATGCAGTCCCTGCTCTGGGGACAGAGAGAGAGGGGTCACAGACTCTCCTCCAGCAGAGCTCAGGAGCCAGAGGTGTGCTAAAATCACCTAACAGTGAGATACATTTCTGCACTTGTGATTAATTGTGGACATCTCAAACAAAACCAGCCCGAGAGAGCAGCAATCAACTCTGGCAGCTCCTTCTGCTGACAGCACCCAGTTCACAGACATTTCTCATTACAAATCCCACAACATCACATCTCCTGTATCTCAAAAGCGAGCAGGGCAACTCAGTGAATCAGTGGCAGAATCAGGAAGGCAATGCATGAGCTGACAAATCAGCCTCTTCTAGACATTCCCTCTATTAAGTGAATTCCCTGTTTTGAACCAGAAGCGCTCACGGACAATCTGCTTCCCCCATGAATCACACTTGTCAGTTGAAAAATAAGATTATTCAACCACAAAACAAATAGGATGAAACTTAGAACAAACATTGCTTTCTGTGAAGTCATCTGCATTCAGCAAGATCACATCTTTGTAAAGCAACCAAAAAATAAATGAGATAATGTCAGAAACAAGATCTGTCACGAAAAGCAGGATGAGAGTTTCTAGGCAAGCAGCAACTTAAAAATTAAAACAAAGAAGTTAAGTTTTGCTTGGCTGTTCCACCCCAAGGCACAGACCACAGTTTGTACTGTCACACAGGAGCGTCCCCAGAGCTGCCTTACAATGATGCTCTCGGGGTAAACGTTGTCACTGTAGGAGCCATCGTCGAAGTTCACTTCGTAGAAGGTCTGGGTGGTGGTGCCGATGACCCTGCAGCGATAGTAGAGCCCGTTCCTGTTCTTGGTGATCACTGTCTGCCCCAGGGACACCTCCCTCCGGAACGGGACCTGCGTGGGACACAGCAGGATCAGCTGCCAGCCACAGCTGCAAAAGCTGTGTCCAAAATTCCACGGGATCATGGAATGCTTTGGGTTGGAAGGACCTTAAAGCCCACCCAGTGCCCCCCCTACCATGGGACACCTCCCACATTCCCAGCCTGGCCTTGGGCACTGCCAGGGATCCGGGGCAGCCACAGCTGCTCTGGGCACCTGTGCCAGTGTTTTAACCCCTTCACAGCCAGGAATTCCTTCCCAACCATCCCATCCAAATCAGCCCTCTTGCAGATTAAAGCCATTCCCAACAATGGCTTCCTGGACAATCCTTCTGCATTAAAAGCACAAAACATTTTGAGCCAACATAGGTGGGAAGAAACTATTTAAAAAACCCCCAGAAACAAAACAACCCAACAGAAGCCCAAATCCCCCAGCCCAAGCCCCCAGCACAGGCACCCCGAGCCCAAAGCCTACGTTCTGGTTTGCTGCTTTGTGCTTGAAGCAGGTGATGGACACGACGTAGGGCCAGTCGTCGGGCTCCATGGGCACGCCGGCCGCGTGCGCGCACGTCACGTGGAACGACGTGGAGCAGTGCTCGGAGGAGCACTGGACACAGGCCCCCGACACCTTCCTCATCCTCTTCCGGCAGTACACACACCTCTGCAAGGGAACACAGCTGGGTGAGGCACTGCTCTGCAGGGGAACACAGCTGGGGTCACGCTCAGCCCTGCAGAGCCACACTGGGCACAGACTGGACTCCAGTTTGGACTGGGCTCACTGGAACCAGGCAAACGCCCACCAGTGGTACCAGAGAACTGCTGCACCCTCACCCTCCTCACTTACAGCAATGCACCTACATTTCATTAGTTCCAACAGAGCTGGATCCTCACAGGTGCACTGCTGCAAAATAACATTTCCATTTTTCTGAAAGAACAGAACACGGTAGCTGGCTGGCAATTTGCTCCATTATATTTAATGGGACATTGTATCGATTAGATCTCATGGAATATAAAATCATATAATGGAACAAAAATACTGTGTGTTTATTTTAGATGCATAAGCATATCAACCATAAATATTTTATTGGCATCCATGCCAGATGAGCCACTGTAGATAAATCAGTTGGTTTTTCAAACAAAAGAAATAAAAACATTGCACGAAAACACCAGAATTATGGGGGGGAAAAGGTCTGAAATCTTGGAGACATTTTCACACTCATTTGCTGCAAAGCAGATCCAGTTATTAGGTAAATCAATGTACTACGTGTGACTGCTTTAAAAAGAAATTCCATTTTGTCAAAGGTAAAAATCCCGAGCCTGATGACACTGACAGTGAGCAGAAGTTGTAGTGGGAACAAGATAAATTTCCTCACTCCCTATAACAGCACCAATTCTTGTTTCCAGGCCCTCAGACATACAGAAAAGGAGATTTTGGGAACCCCAGTCTAAAGAATGGATGCTTGCATAATGTTTCCAGGGATCCATTTGGAAATACCACTCAGTTTTTAACATTTCCAGGAATCTGGAATCAGCAACTCCCAGAATGGTTTGGGCTGGAAGGACTTTAAAGCTCATCCCAATCATCCAGCCCCATCCAACCTGGCCTTGGACACTTCCAGGGGTGGGGCAGCTTCTTTACCTTATCTGAGGCTGGGACAAGGCAAATCAAGGCAAGATTAATATCACAGAAGACAAATGTGCCTTTCATGGTTAAAATGAACAAAAGGTGTCCCTGACCATGGCAGGGGGTGGAACTCCAAAACCTTCCAGGTCCCACCCAACCCAAACCATTCTGGGATTCTGTGATTCCTTCTCCAGGAACACTTCTCTCCCTTGAAAGCAAAAGATGCCAAAGAACAGGAGATTTGTTCTTCCTTATTCCTCCCTGCCTGGGCTCTGCCCCACATTTATATGAAATAAGTCCCATTCCTTCCTATGAATTAACCAAAGGCAGTTTTGTTTACACCAAAGATTAATTTGGCCTTTTTTACACAAACGAACAAAAGCCAGGAAATTCAAAGCCAGAGCCTGAGTGCTGCCAGAACGTGGGTTTAGCCTTTAATAAGCTGAGCCTTTATCGCTCTGCAAACCATGTTCCAGAGGCAGATAAGCAGCAGGAAAGTGCACAGCAGGACTGAGGGGAGTCAATAGCACAGATCCCATTATTAACCTGTCGATATCCCCTTGTCCCAGCAGCAGGAACAGCTGCTGACACACAAGGGGCTCGGGGAGCATTAACCCTCCCGGGGCAGGAATCCCTCCTGCTGCCAACAGGAGTCTGCCAAGGCAGGGTTTGCACACAGCCAGTGCCACCCTGTGCCCACACAAACTCCCTGTGATGGAAACAAGAACTGCACCAAAGGGATATTCACAGCAAATATGATCAAAAGATAAATGAGAGTGACAGTGAGCCTGAAGTGTAAGGAGAGATGGAGGGAGTGACAATTCTTGGCTGTGAGGGTGGTAAAACACTGGCACAGGGTGCCCAGCTGTGGCTGCCCCTGCAGCCCTGGCAGTGCCCAAGGCCAGACACTGGGCTGGGAGCAGCCTGGGACAGTGGGAGGTGTCCCTGCCATGGCAGGGGGGGCACTGGATGAGCTTTAAGGCCCCTTCCAACCCCAACCAGTGTGGGGTCATCTGACAGTGCAGATCTGGAAGTGTGGGAGATGGGATGGACACAAACACCAGTGCCAAGTGCTGTGGGAAAGCTGCACATGGAGATTTAAAGGCATTTTCTGTGGGAGGGAAAAGAGTCCAAAGCACAGGAGAGAAATCTTCGGAATAAATGCACACCAGAGTCAGGTCACAGCTGAGAGTAAGAAATGGGCTGTCTGCTGCATGATGAACACTGCAATTCATTTACTCCACTGAGGAATGACAGCTAATTATTCCAAATTTCCACGACATAAATAATTTACGTGCACAGGCCTGTAATGTGCCATCAATCTGGGAGCAGGAAACTGCAGTCCTGAAAATGGTGCCATACCCACAAATGGACTGAAAAGTCTGTCCTTGCACAGGGAGACCTGGTCCATGCTTAGAGAGCAGGACATACCTCTCACCAGATCACTGCCACTCCTTGGTACCTCAGCCCTCATCACAGGAACTTAAAACAGTACAAACATATTAAAAAATCAAATAATAACCAAGGATAACCCCTACCCCCTCTCTCCCCCACTACCCTCCATCCAGTCACATCAACTGTCCTCACCCTTCACATCATTCCTTCTCTCCTTTTCCATCTTTTCCAGCCACAAAAGTTATCTTCCCAACTTTATCAAGTACTGCACCAAGGCCATCGTTGCCAAAGTCACGAGCTCCACGTTTGGTTTATCTTCCTAACTGCAGCTGCTCACCTCCAAAGCACAGGCACCCCCCACCTCCTCCACTGACTCCCCACATGCTCCAGGAATTGCCTGCAAATTCCCATGAAGAATCCTGAAACTCCCCCCCATGACTCATGACTCTCTCTCCACACAATCTGATCCCATTTACAATCCCTCTGTACCTCGCACCCCTGGCTCTGCAGGACTGCCAGGCAGCCAAGGAAGGGTTAAAGAATTAAGTCATGTTTCCTTGTGAGGCTCCATTAAGCAATACAAGTGAGTGTTGTGTAAAAGGATTTTAAGTTCAGCGTTACAAGTGCTGGTAATGAAGAGGATGCACGTTGGAAGTGTCAGCTGATCCATAAAGAGCCACCGCTGCAAGATTTATCACCCTGGCACTGCGCAGCCCCATCACTCCTGCTGAATAATGAATGCTTTTTACATTCACATTTGTGTACAAAACCCATTTGCACAACAGAGAAATAACTCTGGAAGCAGGGATAGGTTCCTCCTAATCTCTCACCCAGGCTCGCTGCACTAAGTAGCAGCTCTGTTAACGAATCCATCAGTGCTAACTCATCTATCACCGCTCCAGCACCTTCCCCATCCCACACTGTGTCACCCAGCTGACTTCTGCACCAAAAAAAGCAGCAAAAGCACAATTTATTTTGCAATAACACACTATAGTGATGGAGCATTAACTAACATTAAGATAAATTGCTCTGAGCTAATGAATCGTCCATTACTAATCCCTCGGATGAGGCCACACAGCTGAACAACAACTTGGAGCTGGGCTTGTATTAAAATCCTTGCAGTCTTGCCTTGCAGTCAGGGTCACAGAAATGTTTATTTGTTTCTACAAGAGATTTCTTGATAGAAAAAGAGAAATGTTGTAAGGAAAGATGAATTAGAGATGAACAAGTCAGCTTCTCTTTAGTCACCATGTCCCTTGGCACTCCCGCTTTGCAGTGCTTGCAGTAAACAGAGCTTTCAGGCAGTTTACACCTGAGTGCAGGTGGGAAGAGTCCCAGGCTCTGCCCAGGGTACAGAACTCTCCCAGAGAGTGAGGGCACATCTGGAAATCAGAGCTGGCTGTGTGTCAAAGCACCGACAGGGCTCAGCAGACACCAACGACGCAGCTTTTGTTTGGAAATGAGAGCGAGATCCAGTCTTTACGAACCCACACAATGTTTTTCTGTCCAGTTACAGCTTTTCCCTTTGGCCCTTGTTCCCAAACTCTCTCCCCAGTTAAAGACACCCACCAGTTTCCACCTCTGCTCGGGGATGGCGCTGATATCCACAGGATGACGCTCTATGACATTGAGGAAACGCGCCTCGGGGACAGCAATTGCACAGATTACGTGGACCCACCTGGGGAGCAAAGTGAAGACACAAATCAGGGCCTGCCGTTATTTGAATGAAATGCTCAGGAGGGCAGTTAACATTTCCCTGCCTCCCTCAGCATCGAGGCACATTTCCAGGGGTTGGCAGCCCTGGCAACGTTCCCAATCGACTGTTAATCAGGGTGGCACAAGGTAAATGTCGCTGAACGACAGAGATCAACCTTCTTTTACACCTGATTTTGCACAATGCTGAACATTCTCTGAGAAGTCTTTTCTCTGAGAAACAACCACATTCAGCAGGAGTTCAGCTGTGGAGCAGCCTGGTGCAGTGTAGGGCAGCACAGTCACTTGGGCTCATCCTGCCGAGTCAGCGAGGAGCAGCTCCCTCCAGGACCCCGAAAGTTGCTGCTACACTGAGCATTACAACCAAATTCACAAGACAAGGAGATTAGGTGCAGTGAGGAAGGAAAATACACTCAAAGCCAGCACTCACCGGCCATCAGTGGTCACCTGGAGAGCTCCTCCCCTGAGATTGCACAGGCAGCATTCCTGTGGGAACACAACTCCTTCAGAACAGACCCAAAAGCTCCTGTTCACCCTCCCCAGAAAGCGACCACCCCGCAGCTGGGATGCCAAGGGCAGCCCGAACGCTCCCCCAGCGCGGTGTGCTGTCCTTACCGCTGCCCACGCGCCGGCCGAGCACCGCGAGCACCACCAGCTCTCGTTCACCAGCTCCGGCCGTATCCCGTAACAGCCTGCAACAAACAGAGCCACAGCCTCGTTACAGCACGGCCTCCACCGCTTCTTCCTTGGACTTCTCAGTTCAGGAGCACCTCTGAGAGCATTCCAGGATCTGCACTGGACAGGCTCCGACAGAACCGCAACTGGGACCGGCAGCTCTCAAAACAAACCAACCAAACCCCCCCAGGAAACCCTCACATCCGATTTTCCCTTTTCTGAGGACTACAATAGCAAGGCTTTGTTTCTTTAGGCAGGAACTGGGCTCCAAGGGGATGCCACCACTGCTGGAGTGCACTCACACCAAAACAGGGAAGGGCATTGAATTCTGGTGAGGTTAAAGCAGTTAACTTTTGCTGTGTGGTGTTATGAGGAAGGACAAGCCCAATGATACTGCAAGGAGATTAAATACCTGCATTCCACATTGTTAACAGTATTTCATTTATGGTTATAGGAAGTGTTAAAAACATCTCATTTTACAGAGCATCAATTACTGTAACATGCAAGCACCAAATCCTCCTACAACAACACCAAAACAGTAAAGTGGTATTATGCCACTATAAAGGCAGGGAAATAAGAACAAAAAAAGTCCTTAAAGTTCTATAAAAGGCACTGAGGTTTGTCACTGAAAACAATGGGAAAAAGACACAGATACAGTTTTGGAAAATAGATTTATGTGACTCCTCCAAGCTTGTAAAGTGAGTGGAAAATTGAAGATAAGCATCTCAACTAACACACAGCTCATTCCATCCAGCCTCTATCCTTCCTAACAAAATCCCACCCAGCCTTCACCTATCCTAACAAACTGAACAGAAAATTTCAGCTGGGAACAGCAATCTCAAATTACTGAATTAAACTTAAAAGAAGACATTCAGAAAGCACTGGGATTGCCTCCACAGCCTGATTTATAAATACCATCCACTTAACCAGATAAACAGCATGTCAAAAAAAGTCAATACTATGGATCTGCAGCTGCTCTCCACATCTGAGGTCTCTTTTCATCATATGGCAAATCAGGGAGGCAAATTCCATCCAGGCCTGAACAGGGACAGGGGTGTTCAGCCCAAAACTGAGCTGAGGGAGAGCCAGACCCTGAGCACAGCCTCAAGCTGCACCAGGGGAGGTTTAGATTGAAAATCAGGAAAAATTTCTTCATGGAAAGGGTTGTAAAGCATTGGCACAGCCTGCCCAGGGCAGAGGTGGAATCACCATCTCTGGAAGTGCTCAAAACATACATGGACGTGGCAGCTGGGGACTTGGCTAGTGGTGGGCAGGGCGGTGGTGCTGGGCTGATGTCTGGACTTGGTGACCTTAAAGGTCTTCTCCAACCTCAGTGGTTCTGTGATTCTATGAGGGCAGAACAGTCACATTTACTGAACCCCAGGCTGTCCCATAAGGACAATCCAAGCAGACAAAGAAAAATACGCTCTTTTAATGGATTTTGTCAGTGCCTCAAAAGCCCAGAAACCTTCACAAACCTTCCCCTCTCCGTAGGGCCTGGCTGCTGGAACCCAGCACAGTTTGAGGGCACTTCCCAAGAGCACACAGGCTGCCAGCTGGTTTTACAGTCAGCCAAAATACACCTCACCACTGCAATCCTGCAATAAAAGCAAATGGGTTCTCTGCAGCAAAGTCAAAGGGATGTCACAGAGCACAAGGAAACAACCAGGCACTGGAGCCTCCATCAGATTTAACACCTGTCCTGTCCTCAAGGGGACTGTTCAGCCAAAATATAAAACTGAGTTTCTCTAAAAATAAGATGGATCTCAGGTCTGAGCCTGCAGATTAACATCATCTTGCCCACACCCCTCTGTCCTTAAACAGAATTTGGCCACAGAAACCATTCTGAAAGACTGGACTATTGCAGGCCTAAGGATGGACAAGATGCAGCAGCCCAGAATTGTGAAGGCAGGATGAAATCTTCCTCCTCACACCCGCTCTGCATCCCATGGTCTGATTAGCCAGAAATGACCATCATCAGGGATTCAGCACAGAAACAAAAGTTGCCTTCCAGTTCCCCAGCCCTGCTGAGCTGCATGGGGACCTGCAGACTCTAAAATTGGAACAACAAAAGTAATTCCAGCTGATGCAAGTCAAATAAGATTCCCCATCTGTCAAGATCAAACAGCTGAACAGTAATTCGTCACAAATGTTAACTGGATGCTGTTCAATCTCCACTGAAGGTACACTCCACCAGGATTAATCAGATCTTCTTTTGGACGTAACTATCAGGGAAACAAACAAACATATGTTCCCTTTTGTAATCAAGTGCCATTACTACAAACACTATCACAGACACTAATAAAATATATCTCAAACTAGTCCATAATCTCTGCTGCATGCAGGAACAATACAGCCTCCCCCAGCAGAACAATATTGGAACGAAATATGTGAGAGGAAAGAGTGCAATAAAACCTTTGAGTTCTGCTTTATTACAAAAAATGAAAGGTATCAAAAGAATCTTTTCTGTGAGACAAAGAAGTATCAGCCAACAAAATAAGCAGTAAAAAGAATATTGGTGTGTATTTTTAAGATCAGTGACTTGATCAAGATGGACTTGAATACACAGATATGCTCTGAGAGGAAGGTTCCCTGCCCATGGCAGGGGATGGGAACTGCATGAGCTTTAAGGTCCTTCCAAGCCAAAGCTTTCTGGGATTCCTGATACTCTGGTACCAAGCAAGATAAAAACGGGAGTGGCAGGATACAAACCTGCCAAGAAGGAACTCAAATACAGCAGAACACAAACTCCTGAGTTTCTCAGGATCCAAAGGCTTTGGGAAGTGAAACACTCACTAGCATGAACCTGCAGGCAGCATTTGGCACAGGATATCAAGGGACTGGTTCCATCCTCTCCGATGTAGGAATTTGCAGGAAGGGGCTCGGTGTTTTCTCCACTTGAGGTAAAGCACATCTCAGGGATCAGGGGCTTGGTCTTCTGCCCACACTTGGAAAGGTGCAGGAACGAGGACGGCTCCCCTGAGGAGACCGGGGCAGCTTCCTTCTCCACCTGGGAGGACTGGAGAGAAAAGCCCATCACTGAGCTGCCTCTGCCTGGCCACGGCTTTCACTTCCCACTCTGAGCACTCCCCTTGCAAAGAAGTCACCCAGCACCTGACACCAGGCAGCCAAAAAATGGCCCAAAATCCTGATTCTCACCCCCACCTTGCTTCTCCCCCTCTTCCTCAGGCATCAATAGGATCTGAAATTTGTAGTGAAAGCTCAAAGAACAGAATAATAAGCAGCTTTTCCTGGTTTTCTTCTGCAAAAAATCTAAATTCCTAAACTGCAGCTGAAAACACCAAGGGAAAATAAAAAGGAAATATTACTAAAAGCAAGACCTTCCCTCCCCCTCTCCCATCCCTCTGGCATCCTTCCTTACTTTTCCTGCAAGAAGTTGTCTTGAAGGACATCTCAAGGTTTCTGGTAGCAGACAGAGTTAAAAGCAATGGATAAAACCAGCTCAGCTGCACCCAGTTTTCCTCACAACAGCCAGCAATCAGAAGAGATATTTTATTTTCAGTCCATATAATAAATCAAGAGATTTTATTGAAGTGGGAGGTTGGTTCTGCTTTCCTCAGGAAAAGCTTCCAACACAGCTACAAGTATCTAAGGCAGGAATTCCTGGTGGGCACACAAAGCCAGATTTGGCTTTATGTGAGAACAAATCAATGCACAACTGCACAAATAACTAATTCGTCTGATGAATTCTGCCTTTCTGCTCATAACATCTCCCAAAGCATACTGGTAGTTTCCAAAAAAGGATGATGGATGTGCTAACTCAGTAAATTTTTATTTTGTGGCTTGTTTGCATAAATTCAGCAGCTCAGGCCGGTATGGAAACAGGAGCCTGGTGTGACTTTTCTCTGCATGGAACAGTGTTTGCAAAGCTCCTTCAGTGTGATTGCAAAATGAACACTAAGCAAGCCAGAGAAGCCAGGAAAGATAACAAAAAAGGCTCCAACTACTGCCAAATCCAAACACATTTCTTTGGTGTGCAAATTTGTATGGGTTTGTCTCTATCAGAAATGTCTGCATCCTAATTCATCCATCTGAGCAGTGTCAGAGGTTTAGATGAGGTATTAGGGAAAACCTCTTCATGGAAGGTGTGGTCAGACAATGGCACAGGCTGCCCAGAGATCTGGCAGGGTCTCCATCCCAAAAAACACCTGGATACAAAACACGTGGATACAGAGAGGGGGACGTGGCCTTATGGGGAACACGGTGGTGGGGGATTGACAGCTGGACTTGATCCTAGAGGTCTTTTCCAACCTTAATGATTCCCTGACTCTGTGACGAGGAATTACCTGGTTATAGGGGTAGAAGAGGGTGCAGACAGCACAGTATGGCTCACTCAGGGCAGCAGCTGCATTGAACTTCCTTTCTGCTGGGAAATTAAATGCTTTGTTCTTCCACTGGAAGGAAAGTAAAGATTTCAAAGCCTCTGGATCACTCATATCTTCCTCTCCAGAAAATGGAAACGTTTCTAGAATGAAAAGGAAAAAAATCACAAAACAATGGGCAGTCAGTAAAGGCAAAGAACTTTATGGTTAGAAGAGGCAAAAGGAGAGAGGCTGAGTTAAACAGCTCAGGTCTCAACAACACAAGAAATGCAATAAATAAAATCATTCAACTCCTCCATGGTCTCTTGTATGCCTATGCCCCAAAAACTTCTTTAAACTTTAAACTTCTTTCAGTGGACAGAATCTCCCCTTTGGGGATAGGATACACAAGACAGGGAGAGCAGTGACCTGAAGGAACCAGCCACGAGGAAGGGGAGAAAGAAGATTTAGTGCCTTTGTAACTCCCTCCCCTTTCCAGCTGTGAAACCTCCACCATCCTTTTAATGAAGATTTAATTTGCACTTTGGTAAGGTCAGAAGACATGATGGCAGTGTAAGGAAATGCCCTTTCCTGTCCCCAGCAGGGAGCTGCATGCCCTGGCAGGTGAGGATGGTGCTGCTGTGGCCGGGCCAGCTCTCAGCTCCCAGCCCAGCCTGACCCAACCCTCCCAAGCTGCATCCCAGAGCTGCACACACAGACCCTGCCTGGGGGTTCAGGGCTCTGGTACAGCCATCCCCACACCACTGAACCCATCTGCATTCCCCACCATCCCTCCCTCTGCCACAGCTCTGCCAGGGACTGCTCCTGCTAATTACTTTGCTAATTCTTTATTTTATAAACCTTTAAAAGGTCCTTGGCATTATACAATTAAACCACTGCAGAATCCATTTGTGGCAGTCTGGGGGTCCAAGTTTTTTACCCTTCCTTAGTCCTTCCTTAGGAGTTTTGAGTCACTCTAAGTGTTAAAGAAATTTTCCACACAAGGCTGAGTGTAAATCACTCCCTGCATCACCAATCTGCAAAGTTTCCAAAAGAACAGGGAACTCAAAAACATCTTGAAAGAACATTATCCCCAGAGCTCAGCACATTAAACCAAATTGTTCACTGCTTCACTGTTAATTACTGGAAATAAGCAGTTTATGTTCTGCTCTACAAGTCTAAGTCTCCTCCCCAATTCTCCCTCCCTTTGAAGATTTTCTGACTCTTGGGTTACCTGGAAGGATAAAAGGAACTTGGAGTAAAACGTTAATGGCTGAGTTTACATCTCAGATTTTAAATGCTGCCATAACATATTTGTCAGACAATGTGGAAATTTCATTGTGTTTAATGAATCCCTTTTTTGAGGTGATGAGTGCTGGCTGTGTGGGTCTGTAACATTTCATATGAGGGTCACTTCCTAAAAAGTGTCTTATGTTGTTTATTTTTAAGACATGAATCAAAACCCACATTTCTCCACATTTCTGTCGAGGCACATCAAGTGACAGGCCAGGATTTCTGACACCAGTGAAATCAGTGAAACCAGCAGCCTAACCCAGAGTGACCAAGGGAGAGAAGAAAGGGGATGACTCTGTGTGCTATGACCTTCACTCCTCCCAGGATGGATCCAGGGGGACACACAGCATTCAGGATGGCTCCCACACTGCAAACAATTTGTCTGGGCTGAATCTCTGTGTAACATGAGCATTCCTTTAATTTACATGCTCACTGTTCCTCCTGCAGATCATCCTCACACATCATTCCCTGAAAAGGCCCGGGGTGCAGAGAGCTGCCTCTATTCCCTGGTGAGGAGGGAAGAATGTCTGATCAGATTTTGCCCAGCAGAGCTGTAAATCAGTCCCCAAGAAACGCCAGCTTCCACAAGAGCTGCTCCTGTTCCACCAGCCAAGTCCCCAAACACCATCCAACAAGTGAAAGCAGTGAGAAGGATCTGCCTAATGAGGATCCTCCAGCACAGAGCTGGTTCCAAGGTCTCACACCAAAACAAAATAACGAGTCTCAGCTGCCTCTGCACGCTTCACTCCATGTTACACACTTGGAAGGCATCAAATGCATCCTCATAGGTGAGGAAAGGAGCTCTGTGTGCTCAGGAGAAGCCCTTCCTGCAGGAGACTGCTCCAAAATCAATGGATGCATTTCTGAAGGGGTGAGCAGGGAAGATGTTGTCCTTTGGAATGAGGAGTTGTGAGCAGGGACTGCCAGCTACACCCACGTGCCCGACCCAGCACACAAAAGCTCCTTACTGGGGGCTGCTCCATATTCTGAATAATGTGGGAAAGGCCCCAAAGTGGGAAATTACACCACAAAACAGAGTGAGAGGAAAGAATCTTTTCTCTCCCCTTGGTCCAGACTGTTAGTGTATTGGGAATGGAACACTGGGACTTGAATGTGGGAAAAGAAGAATCAGTTAAACACCAAGAAACATTTTAATTCTCATTTCTGCATCTGCCAAGGAAAGTTGGACCCCAACACTGACATGAATTAGGAGCCAAGCAAAAGGTAAGAATTGACCTTCCTCACACGTGAGAGCAGGCCTGACCTCCACTGCCTCCAAGGGGAACCGATCTTATCCCACTGCAATATCCAAGACAGAGCTTTGCCTTTAAGATTTTTTCTGCAAACTCTTTTTTCCCTTTGCCCAAAATGCTGCCTCATTCTGCAGCCAGCAAAATATTTTTCTTGAGTGGAAGAAGGGTGGGAAGTGAGAAGTGACACCTCCCACAGAGGAGTTTTGTTTCCAGCTGGGTTATCAAAACCAGAACACACTGCATTTCCTACCAGCTACGTGTAACACAGAGCTTCAGGCCAGCCAGTTTTGCCAAAGGCTTCAGCAATTCCCTGGGCCACAGGGGACACGCACACGTCCCTGGTGCTGCTCACTCACCCTCGTCACTCGAGGTCTCCTGTTTGACCACAGACAGCGGGGAGCGCGTCGGGGGCTTGCCCAGCGGGTGCCGGCGGCTCTTCTTGATCTCCATCTTCATCTTGGAGAAGGCAGAAGCAGCCTGGAAGGAAGCACAGCAAGCTGGATGGGCACCCCCAAGGAGGGAACAGGACAAGAGAGGCAGAGCCCCTGTCTTAGAGAGCTCTTGGATTCACACGGCAAACTTTTCTCTGCCTTTTGGCTGAACTACTGAAGCCTTCCGAGCCAATTCCTGCAGCAGATAAAAGCCAACACTAACTCTTAAGAAGTTGGGTAAACTACTGAGTTTTCTTCAAATCAGGACAGCCTCAGAACATCTGCAAGCTGCCAATTCCATCAGCTCGTGAAAAGCCTGCTCAATCACATGCACAGCTGGGAACTCCACGGAAATTGTGAATCACGGAATCCCAGACTGGTTTGGCTTGGAAGAGACCCGAAAGACCATCCAGTTCCAACCCAGCTGCAAGCCAGGCTAACACCGTCCAGCCCGGGCTGTGCTTCCACCCAGCCTGGCCTGGGGCTGCCTGCCGCCAGCAGCGGTGAGCTCCGAGCACCGAGCACCGAGCACCGAGCTCCGAGCACCGAGCTCCGCGGTGAGCTCCGAGCACCGAGCACCGAGCTCCGCGGTGAGCTCCGAGCACTGACCTCCGCAGTGAGCTCCGCGCGCTCCGCCTCGGCGCCGGCCCCGTCCTTGCCGGGGCTCTGGAGCGGGCCCTGCTCGCGCCAGCCCAGCCCTTTCTGCGTGGCGAACTGCTCGAAGGCCTGCTGGCAGGACATGTGCTCCTTGTCGAACACCACCTTCTTGCTGCGGGGCACCACGTACAGCATGGGGATGATGGGCCGCGGTTTGAAGTCCTCCTCCTCGGCGGCCTCCGAAGGCTGCACCACGTTCAGCGGGGCCGGGGGCGGCCGCGCTGGGCCCGGCCCGGCCTGGGCAGGCTGCTGAGGGCCCGGCCCGGGCAGCACCGGCGGCTGCGGGGGGAACGGCTGCTGCTTCTTCTTCCGCTCGCCCTTGGCCTTCGGGGGCCGCGCCTTGGCCCTGCCCTCCCCTGCTGGAGAGAAAGGCGACACTGAGCCCCCTGACACGGCTCCCGGGGACCCGGCGTTCCCCTCACGGCTCCCGGGGACCCGGCGCTCCCCTCACGGCTCCCGGCCCGGAGCCGGGCTCGCACCTTCCCCCAGGGACTCGCTGCTTCCAGCTGGGCCTCAGCACTCACCTCGAAATGCCACTTCAGAAAGAAAATACTTGTGTCATTTCTGTGGACTATTGAATTCCTGACTGGAGCACAAAGGCTGCTAAAAACAACGTTTCCTGGAGGGAAAATATCTAAATCCCTAAGAAACTGGACAGTGTGCCAAAAACCTGTAATATGTCACATTAGCCCTGACTGTGTTTCAAGTCTTTTGTCCTCCAAAGTCAGGAGCACAAAACCATCCACTGGGGTGCAGGAATGAAATATTTTTGTACCATTAATAAAATAAATATTTCAAACTATTTTTTTTAATCTTTATGCCTTCCTTTTCTAATCTCTGTTTTTCTGTGTATTCATAATGGGCGTATTAGCACGGAAACACACATGTACATGTGTATTCCTGTGCTACAGATGAATAAATGTGTATATAAATAAAGACATACATCAGGAGGCGTGCTCAGAATTTTTTTGCTGATAAGGAGGTGCAATCAAGAGTTTTGGAGCCCCCCATTCTGTATCAGTAGTTTGCTGCTCCCTGTTTGCAAGCACAGCTCTTATCTGGGTATTACTGTGTGTCAATGCACCCAACAGCCCCAGGAAATGAAGAACTGAACAAAGATACCTGAATCATTATTGCCCAAAGATTTCTGCTATCAAGTTTTTTTAAAAAATGCTTTTAAAGCATAAATCAGGTGCAGCACGGAGCTCAGCTGGATCCTGAGATATTCCTTTACTCACACGCATGTCCTTGTTTCTCCCAGCTCACTGTCACTCAGTTTATCTGCACAGCCCTCATGGATGTGACACCACTTCTTGAGCAGATAAACATCTCAGTATTGTCACCAGAGGCAGTACTGGCCTGTGAAAGTCTTCCCCGGGAAGGGATCCACACACTCCCATTTCACAGCAGAGATTAAAATTCCTGCTCTCCCCTGAGGGGGAGTCCAGGCTGGGATAATCAGACACAGCCTGCTCACCCCACTGAAGAACTTTCACCAACCCCGACCCACCCAGGCCAACCCATGAATGGAAAATCACAATAGCCATCACATAATAGAGGTTTCTGCATGAAGAAGGGTGAATAATCCCACAACAGGATAAAGTGCCAGAATCCCTGCTGAAATCCCCTAGGGATCACCTTAACCCCAGCATTTCCCAGAAGTCTGATGACTTTATTTACACTAACTTATAAAAATGGGAACAAGTCCAGCTCAAATAATTATAGTTGTACTTGTGTAGGCAGTCCCTCAGATAAACTGGTTTGTTCTATCACAGAGAAAGGAATATTGAATTTCCTTAGAGAAACAAACATATTGAATGAAAGGCAAATTGGATTTCTCCCCAGTTGCACAAAACCAGATCATATTTACTCTCTATACACTCCAAGAATTCTCTCCCCAACAGCACCACAAATGCCATTCACCAGCTTTATTGACTTCTAAAGGGTAATTTGACAGCAGCTGGCACAGAGAACTGTGCTTGAAAGTTTTTGCATTAAGATGAACAAACAAGTTTGCAAGTGAATCTATGGAATCAGAAGCCAGCAGAAAGGGAGGCAAAATTCCAAGAGCCTATCTGGCTATCCTGAACACTTCCAGGAAGGAAAAGGATCTGAAGGCACAAATGCACAGGTAGGTTAAGAGAGGAATGTCTTTCCTGTCCTCGCTCTGCAGGCTGGCAGGGGGACACAGGGGACACAGGGGACACAGGGGACACCGAACCCTCAGCACAGCTCAGGAAACTGAGGAGCAGCTGAGGGAGCTGGGAAAGGGGCTCAGGAGGAGCAAAGGAGGCTCTGAAGGAGCAAAGGAGGCTCAGGAGGAGCAAAGGAGGCTCAGGAGGAGCAAAGGAGGCTCAGGAGGAGCAAAGGAGGCTCAGAAGGAGCAAAGGAGGCTCAGGGGGCCCTTGTGGCTCTGCACAAGTCCCTGGCAGGAGGGGACAGCCGGGGAGGTCGGGCTCTGCTGCCAGGGAACAGGGACAGGAGGAGAGGGAACGGCCTCAGGCTGGGCCAGGGGAGGCTCAGGGGGGACAGCAGCAGGAATTTCTCCCTGGAAAGGCTGGTGAGGCCTCGGAAGGGGCTGCCCAGGGAGCTCTGGAGCCCCCAGCCCTGGAGCTGGCACTCTGCAGTTCCCTTCCCGGGCACAGCCCCACAGGGAACAGCCGTGGACTCACAGCAGGATTTGCTCAGCACGCCCAGGCAAGGGCAGAGCCTCAGCACGCTCCTTCCTAACGTCCCAAGACAACCTGCTAAGAATTCTAAATATATTAATAGCAACATAATAAATAATGAATATAAAGCTGAGTCATAAAAACCAAAAGTAAACACCATAAGGGATCTGGGTCAGAAATCCTGAAAACCTTGAGTTATAAATACTCAGCTTGTCCAAATAACCAACACAAAGCATAAGATTTACTTTGGAACCATGACTACTTTGAAATCTCATTTTTTCTCCTTCTCAAGGTCATCTCTTCTGGTGTAATAGAAAATAAAGTCAAATTAAAACCAGGGAAATAAAAAAAAATGAAGTGCAGGAGGTGGTGGGAGCAGAACTGCCACGAGCAGGACCATCCAAACAGATGCTGTTTTCTTCTTCAAGATGAAACCCTAAGACACTGGTGAGAGGCAATGCAGACAGCAGGATGTGGAAAACTAGAGAAGCCATTGGGATTTAATTGCTGTACTGCAGTAGGAAAGCTGAATATTTGTGAGCAGCCACACCAAGCTGGAGTTTGCTCCAGTGGCGCTTCTGCAATGGTGCTGAAAATAAGCTTTTCCCTCCTGAGCCAACAGTCACAGTGCTCTTAAGAAGTACTGGAACTGTATGATTTGGAAGCCATTCAGCTAGAACAGAGTTTTTATTATTCCTTGGCCATTCTAATGATCTCAGATCTGTCCTTGTCACTTATCTCTCCTCTCTGAAGAAAAATCAGCATTTTCGGGCCATTTATTACAAGCATCAAGTGTTAAACTTGTACGAGAGCTAAGAGCAGACAATTTAACACACTGCTGATGCTCTCAAGCTTGGGGCAATAGAAATTAAGTATCTGCACTGTGCAACAATGGTTCTCCAACTCCTTATTTCCCATGAAAAGAGAAAATACACTGCCTAGCTGAGAGACTGAACAAAGCCCTCAATTCTCTTCCCAGAGCTTCCACAGATTTCCTTTAAGATCATTATCGAGGTTCTCTAAACAGTTGGCAGCATCAGTTTCTCCAAATGCTAAACAAATAATGGATACATACAATAGATGTAAATTAATTCCCTGTAAGCAGTGCTGGAGAAGCCTCCAAGAGGGGGTGAGTGCATCACAGACACAAAAACCACTTAACCACACATTAGGGGGGAAAAAGCAGCTTTTTCCCAGCAAGAACTCCAACCTTTTCTACACAGCCAAGAAAAAGGTGCCACAGAAAGAGCTCCCTGCACAAAGGGTGTGCCCAGGCCTGGGGACTGGATGTGCAGAAGGAATCCCAAAGGACAGGGAGTTGTCATGGCCTGGTTTTATTTTCAGCAAAGGTTTTATATTTCATGCAGAGGAAGCTGAAAAGCTTTACTGCTCCAGCTAAACTTGAAGAAACCCAAGTGGGACTCGTGCAGCAGCTGTGGACCCCACCCAAACTGAGGCTCTCTGCATTCAGTCTCTGAAAAATGGGAACAAAGGGAGGGGAAGAGGAAAGATGAACTGCACAAGGCAGTGCACAAATCATTCTTTTTCAGAGCAGGACACAAAAATACATTTATTTGTTTCTCTATGAAATAATTCAAAATATTCCTCACATAATATATGTTTTTACAATCCTGTAATAGTTTGGGCCTATAGAATTTTCAAGCCCTGCCAAAAAAGCTATTTGGATTGAATCCTTAAAGAGAGGAAAAAATCAATTGCTGCTGTGAATGATGACATATTTCAGTGAACAGAGATTTAATATTGGGGAAAACTCTGCTGATATTTCAACAGAAATAAACAGCAGCAGACAAGTTATTCACAGAGGTGCTCTAGAGCTCGCCCCAGCTCCTCACCGGCCTGGCCTCACCTTCTCCCTCCATCCCTTTGCTTCTCTCCTCTTCCTCCAGATCCGGCCCCCTTTTCAGCTCCTCTTTCACTTTCACATCTTCCAAGGCAGTTTCAATAGCCATGACATCCCCAAGAGACTTCTGATCCTCTGTTTTGTGTCTTCTGGGTTGACTCCTTTTTCTGTGAGACCTGGAAGTACAGAAGTGTGATTTGACATAAAAGAACAGCCTTCAACACAGAAAACCATCACTGACTTAAAAAGCTGAATACAAAACAAAAGGATCTTCTTTGGAGAGAAAACACAAGGTAGCTAAAATAGCTACAGGGCAAAAGAGATATCTGAAAGGGAACAGATGAACCTTGCATAACACAACATTTAAGATCCATTCAGCAGCCATTAATTGTCTGGGTTTCCTGAAGAGCTTTTTCCTACCATTACTAATGTAAGCTCACAAGCTGCAGTTAAAGTGATTTTAATTGTGTTTTCAATCTATTTTGCTTGTATTTCAAAATACAGATGAAAACTTGTTTAAATCTCTCTTTCATCCTCTGCCTCCATTCCATTATTTTTTTTCATTCTGTCCATGCCTCCCTTTGGCAAACTGCTGGAAGTCTGCAAAACATCATCTTCCAGCTCTGAGACATTACCCAGCACTGCCAGTTCCCAAAAACACACTATAATGAATGCTCAGAGCAAAATCAATAGGCAGTCTGTGATTTTTCAGCAGTAAATTCAGAAGGTCCAAGGCCTTGAAGAAATCTAACAAAAAAATATGCATATTAATAAGAACAGACAAATACTAATGAGGCAATAGCAATGCTGTTCATTCTTTTTAAAGTCAGTGCCACTAAGGCAAAGATTACAGGAGCCACAATGCGAAGAGAAATGGAAATTCAGAAGCCATGACAAGATTTTTGGGTTGGGAACTGTAGGAAGCCAAGTACCCTCACAGACACTCCCCACTGCTCAAGAGGGACAGGGAGGTAAAATTGGAAGAACAAGAGTCAGAAACTTGTAAGTCAACACAAATGCAGTTTAATAGGTGGAGGAAAGAATAAGAAAAAGAGAGAAAGAAGCCCAGGAAATCCACTCACCACCTCCCCAGGCAGTCCCCAAAAGCAGCACCTCAGAAGCCAAACTCCTCCTTCCTCCTCTCTCCCAGTTTTTATTGCTCCCCATAACATTTTATGGCACAGAATTTCCTCTTTGCCACTCAGGGCCAGCTGAGTCCCCTCCCCACCTCCCACCCAGCCCCAGGGTCCCACTGGGCCAGAGTGGGACAAGATAAAGCCTTGACACTGTGCAAGCAACAGCCAAACTCCAGAGCCTCGAGAGCACTGGTGCAGCCCCAAATCCCAGGAACTCCATCCCAGCCAGCCCCAGCACAGGGCTTTACAGAATCTGTACAATTGCTCCTGAATTTCAGGCTTAAATCTAACAGGATCTCCTTTTCCAAAAGGACTGATTCAGAAAGTTGTGATTTTACCCCATTTTTAGTATGTAGGCACTTCCTTGGTAGAAAGCAGCATTTTCCTCATGGTCTCGCATCCACCATCGTGTGACAAAGACTAAAACACACTTCACTCATCAGTCCCAAAGTCTAGAAAAGCCAAAAAGCAGCTCCCCATCCTCAGAGCCCAGAAAACTCAGCTGCTAATTAGATTTGGAGCACAACAGAGTTAAGAGCCCTTAATCAGCCCTTAAACTGACAAAGAAGGGAGAAAGAAATTCAACCTGAGATGAATGATGAATAGAAAAGCAAGTTGATCCATATGCACAGGGACCTCTAATTGCCAAACTCTGAGCAGATGGTGGCCCTCCAAGAAGAGCTGGTGCCTTCACACCTGCAGGACATCATTAGCAGGAACAGGGGCTGAACCCAGAAGGATCAGCTCTGCTCTTCTCCCATATTCCAGGAACACCTTCCCTGGGAGGGGAACGTAGGGTGGGAGGTGAAGATAAAGCTGTAAGACTTTGCCACTGCAGCTGGAACATTCCGTAGCTGAAGGAGGAGTAGAGTCAAGTGTTACAAGCTGGTTCTAGCAAAGTGTGTTTTATTCCTGTGGTGTGGAAACGCCAAGCAAAAATTACAGCACAGAGCTTTATACTTGCAGGAGAGCAAAAAAGATCTGTTTTGCAGCGCTCTTCTCACTCGGGCTGTGGGGGAGAGAGGCAGAAAGCTCAGCATTTAAAGAAAGTGATTCCACAACTACAGGCTGAAGGCTGAGCATTTCCAGAAGTGAAGCTGCTCTGTGTCTGACAGAATTCACATACCAGAAATGGGCTGGTGGGGACTGGACTAAAACAGTCTCTTGCTGAAGCCATAAAGTAAACCAAGTTGGGTTTTTTAAGGTAACCAAGCCTGACTGACCTTAGAGAAGAAATAACACCTCTCTGCAGAGTTTAAAAGCACCATTTTTCCAAGAGAGCTGACAAAAAAGCAGCATTTGTACTCTTTGAAGAACAGACCACAAAGTGACTTAAATTAAGTAGCTACAGCTGTGAAGGTTTGGGCAGAGGTGAATCCCATCCCTCCATCCTGCTGAGAAAAGTCAGGCTTCAAGTAAAACGATGTCTTGGAAAGACAAAAGCACAGGAGAAAGTACTGCTAAGAAGTATTGAACAGCTTCAAAACTGCTTCAGGATAATGCTGGAATAATCCAGGAAACACTGAACAGATAAGCAAAAAAAGTACCTGGATCTTTTGCAATAGGCTCAGGCTGAGAGAGGCTTCTCTGCTGGGTAATAGGCTCAGGGAGGGAAAATAATCCTTGGTGTTCGTACAGTACCTTACACTGTGCAAACATCAGCTACACCAGGAGCCCTGAACAGTCACAAGAATGCAGCAGCACTTTCATCAGTGACCAGATCCCTTTCCACACACCCAGTTACCACCACACATCCCTGCCAGCCCGGGAGAGAAACTCAAGAGTGAAAACCAGAAGAGCCATGAGACAGTTGGGGTTGTCCAGTGATGGAAGAAGATCACAGAAACCAAAACCAAGATGAAGTCTGAGGAACACTGAGGGCCAAAGATTTCCTGGGGGCTTTCACAAAAAACTCAGTGACAGAGGAAAAGAGTCCCAGAGTTGCTATTTTAAGAAACTTGCCAGGAAAAAGAATGAAGTGACTGAAGTTGCTGAGGGAAGTCACATACCGGTGTTTGTTGTCCTCTTCCTCATCTCCTATCCTATAAAGCAAGATTCCAACAGGAAAAGGTTAGCATGCCAAATTTTCAATTCAAGCATGCTGTAACACACAAAAATCACAGACTTGTAGAAAATTAATACAAAGATCAAAGAAAGGCATGCATAAAATCCCCTTTGCGACCGATGGGCTTTCTTTAACTCCTGTTTCTGATCAGTGGAGCTCTAAACGTTCACTACAGATTTTTTGGTCTTCCAGGATAAGAGATGAGATGTGAGGGGACACCAAGTGTCCCACTTTGAAAAGTATGTGCTTTTATAACATGGGAAGGAAACAGAACCGTGAGGGACACATCACCCCAGACAAATGGCACGAGGAACTGTATGGAAAGAAGAAAGGAAGAAGAGTTTGAACTGTCTCCAGTGAAGGACTGTAGCATTTACAAGCTCACAGTGAAACTCCAGCGCAGGGCTCAGGCACTCTCTGTCTTTACCTGCGGAGCAGTTTCGCCTTCAGATCTGCCTTGGTCTCGTTCCAGGCGTCGAGCTCGGGGCTGCTGAGGGCCGTGGGCTTCATGTGGTCCAGGACAGCGATGTCCTTGCCCTGCTTCCAGAGGTCGTAGCGCTCGGGCTGCAGCACCCGCACGAACACGTCCATGGAGATCTTCACCATGTCCTTGCGGCACGTGCACTGCAAGAGACCCCACACACGTCAGGCCTGGAGCTCCCCTGCCCCACAGAAACACCCACAGCTGCCTCAACAGGGCTTCTGGAAGGGTCTGCCTCGGCTCTACCTGCTCCTGGAAAAGCAGCTGCCACTCCAACACTCTCCAAGGGTACTGGAAAACTGTTCCCGAGGATTTTGTTCTCCCTCTAAGCCCCCGAACAGGCCAAAGCTTCCTGGGACCGGCAGTGCTCGGCTCCTGTGCTGCAGGCATTACACACAATTACTCTGTCTGCTCTAGCCCAGCTCAGAGTCTGCCCTCGAGCCCACGTTCCCTCCTTCAGCCTCTCTCTGGCAGAGTTTTCCAGGCTGAAAAGATATTACTGGTGCCATTTCATAACTCAGAAAAGCCTTACAGGAACCAAAGCCTGACCCAGAGCACAGGGCAGTTAAACTTCATAATGCCACATCCTGACACAGCACAGCGATCCCGCACAAAAGGGAAGAAATAAAAAACCCGCAGTAACTACAGGCTGCATGCAAACCATTCAGGGGGAGAAAATGTGCTTTACTCATTCCAGCTGGCATATGCTCATTAAAACTAACCTGGAGTTACACCCCTGCTATTGCACAGAGAGGACTCCCAGGTGCTTTTCCTTGGATGTATCCCTCTGCTGTGATGAATCCACAGACTGAGTGCAGCAAGGGGATTCTCACCCTGGGCACTGATACCACTCTCAAAGAGTCAGCCTTCATAAACTCAATCAAAAGAAGGCAGAGGATGGAAAAGGACCCAGGAACCCCTCAGGTGCCTCTGGGGGCTGCAGCCACAGCTCTCTCAGGGGCTCTGCTCTAAGGTGCAAAGCTTTGCTTGCACTAAATTGCTTTTCAACTTGAAACTGAGGCTGAGGTAATTGGAGCCACTTTGCAGGACTGGTTTTCACACCTTTTCAAAACCATTCTATCCATTCTTTTGGCAGAAATGCATTAAATTAAACCTGCTTTCTCCCTTTTCTCCTTTCCCTTTTCACCACCATCACTAATAATTTATGGCCATAGGTGAGAGAGGGAGAGAGAAGAGTCCTTCTGTACAGTTCTCCACCATCCCACATCCTCCAGCTCCTGTTTCTCACTGTGCAAGGACTGGGGCAGTGTTGGCAACCCGAGTGGGAAGGAGCATTTATGGACAGGCACTTTCAGGAAAACTCCATTTAATGAAAAGCGGCTGAGGCCAGAAAGGCTGGAAATGCAATTTGGCCACAGCACAGCAGAACACAGATGGCACCCAAGCTTCCAATCCCAGCCCAGGCTGGAGCTTCCCACGGCATCTCCATCAATCCTGGCCTGAGGGACTGAGCAGGTTTGCCTTAACAAAGTTTAAACGCACCTGTGCGGAGCTACAAAGAGGAACACAGAAGAGCATCCCCAGCTCTGACCTGGACCCAAGAGGTGCAGCACAGACACATCCACGCCCTCAAATCTGCCAGCAAAGCCCGAGGCACCCGTGGCCAGAGGTCTCCAGAGCAGTTTCCAAGCACCAGCAGCTGCAGAGCATCCCCCAGCCGCAGCCCTGGCCAGAGCTGCAGGAGCCCACGCTGAGCTCCAGGGATGCTGCTGGGCTGGGGCTCAGCACTGGCCTCCATCTCCCACATCCCACAGTCTGCACCAGCCAAGCTCCTTTCTGTCCACAAATCTACCATGATGTATGTTTATATTTCAATTTTAATTTCATTCTATTGCTTTCACACCAGCCAGCATGAATAATTTACAAAGCCTCTTTCCTCTGGGGCTCCTTCCGGACCGTGCAGTGATATTTCCTCAGCTGCTGCAGCTGTGTCACAGCCACATTCCCAGCATGGCCAGGACATTTTTCCATACCCTCCCCTCAGCCAGCAGTGAGATCCTGCTGATGCTTCCAATACAGCTGGAAAAGGGAATATTCCTGTGTGTGAGAGAGCTGGAGAGGGAGAATGGGGGAGAGCAGGAGGAGAGCGAGGGTAGAGAAGGGTAAGAAATTGCCTTTGCAGTAAATTCCCTGCTCTGCTCCGTTCCAGCAGGACAAAAAGCAGCAAGGTTGTTCCCTGGCAATGACCTCCAGTCCCATACCCTGCCTTCCCCCCTCCATGTACACAGAGCTGCATTTCCTTCAAAGTACTTCACTGTGGTCATAAACACATGTATTTCCTAAAAGACATTACACCCACACCCCCATCATTTCTGCAGAATATATCCTCCCAAATTCCCTCAAATTCTAACACTTTTGTATCCCACTGTTATTAAATTTTATAGAAATGAACATGTCAACACTAAAACACCACCGCTAGGGAGGTATGAAACCTCATTTCCTTTACGTGAGACAAAACCGAACCACAGAACTCCAGGTTGGGAATTCACAGAATTCCTGTGGATCAACAGCCCTGGGCCGGATTTCAGGGTGACATGATCACCCAAGCACAGGACTGAATTTGCAACACAAACCTGTCCAAATGACAGGTGAGAAATTCCAGGACTCTGAGATTCATCCAGCACCTTCCCCTCTCCCTCCCTCATTCCCAGTCTGGCTGCCAGCCCCTCGTGGGAGCAGCAGGGCTGGCACAGCCACAGCTCAAACACGGAATAAACAACGGAATATTCATAACTGGGATCCCCAAGGACCCACTGCAAGTCCTGAAAACGGGAGTGGAAAAAAACAAACCAAAAATCAACAGCTTTAGGGTCAGTTCTTTGCCTTTGGTTACAGGGGAGACCCGAAAGAGCAACAAGAGAGGAGTTTCCATATTCACCAAATCTGCAGGAACTTCACTTATTCCACCTTCTGAAGGCTTTTCCCAGCCTCACCTCTGCTTTCCCATAAGTTAATGGCTTTATTAACTATAAGCATATGGAAAAATACTGTAAGGAAATGCACAATTAAGCTTTTTTCCAGCTTTAAACCCCAACATTCTTCCTTTCCTTATTATTTTATTATCTGCAACTCTAATTTGGAGCCTGTGGTAAAATATGTGACCACACCAGGAGCCCTGTCCCATCAATTCTAACTCCAAGACTGACTGGGGGGAATTTGTGGCTATTGAATGTACAACCATTATCTTATTTGCAATATTTTTTAACATAAAAACACAAATAAGTCTATATAAAATAACAGTCAAATAAAATTACTGTCTCCTTGAAGTCATAAAATCAAATGATTTATGGAAAAGTGCAGACTGATTCAACTTCCACCTTCAGCAACAGTTTTGTGAGGATATTTCCCTCAATTCCCAACTATTAACACTGAACTGAACCTCAGCAGTTCCACCACACAGGAAAGGTTAATGGAAAATAAGCCTTTTCCTTATGCAGAAATAGCCACCAAAATTACAGATTTTAAGTGGCACCTCTGTTTTCAGGGGAAAAACCCTTCATATTCAGATGAAATCAGCTGGTGAGGCTCAGCTGAGCCTTAATGGAAATTTATCCATCACAAAACCCAACGTGCTCAAAACTGAAATTCTTCCAGCTTTTAAATGCCAGACCAAAATATTTGCTTTTCTACCTGCTCTTCCATAACAATGAAGCCTGAAAACAAGTTCCTGGGAAAGAGGGGTGGTTCTGTGCAAAGGCAGCAGAGGAACCCTCGCTGTCACAGGAACACAGCACCCTGCACCTTCCCCTGCACATCCCCAGAGTTTCAGCTTCTGGGAGAAACAAAGATATAATCAATGTATTGATCACAGAATAATCAATGCTTCTGAGCAGCAGCAATCCACTTTGTTCCCATGTTACAGATGTGCTACTGGGATCCAGAAAAAAAAACAGTTTGGGGCTCCAGCTTCCTTTTCCTTCCACTCAGCCAGTCCCAGTATGTTCCTGAAAGATGAATGGCTGCAATTCTGTGAGTGAGGAGCTCAGCTTTGAGGAGAAGGAGAAAAAACTGGAAAAAGTCCAAAGCTGCATAGCTTGTGTGTTTAATGGCTGGTGGTTGGAAGCTTGTGGGAAAGATGAGCCTTGACCCCCCGTTTGCAGAGTAATTACCAGCATCAACAACAAACCAGTTCATTAGGAAACGCACTGGAGACCCCTCCCAGAGCTTCACAAACAAAACAATTAGGGAAGATTTCCACTCCCCCTGTCCCTGGCTGCAGGGCTGGATTCCTCCCTGCCTGCTCCCAAAAAGCTCCCTGAGGATTCCTGGGGTGCAGGAGCAGGGCCAGGGGGAGGCAGGGTCACCCCAGTGCCCCTCACACCCAGCATTTATGGGTGACAGAAACACTCTGGGACTGGTCCCAGCCTGAACAAACGGAATAACCCATCCCAGAGGCCAGAGGGAACTGGTGGCACCGATCCACCCCCAGGGACATTGAGCCCCCCCACCCAGCAGCACCCCCAGCACTGGGATCCAGGAAATCCCACCAAATCCAGGCATTGATTCTCAACTCCCAGAGTTCTTCCTTCATTAACAAAAATCGTGCCAAGAACCTCCCAGCCAGAACTTCAGGAGAGGAGCTCGGAAAAGAGCTGATAAAAGAAAGCTTCCAGGCAGTTTCCAAAGAACAACCACCCCCTTTCCACCTCAGCACAAAAAAGAACTGTCAAAGTTCCTTTTTCTTGCACAGAACCAAGAGCAGGGCATTAGGGATGCTTACAAATAATACAAGAAAATAAGTATGAAGAAAGGTGGAAGAATTTGTACAAGAGCAACTTTGAATCTGTCTGACGAAAATAAACCATGGAAATGTTATTCCATAATAGATTTCTTTAATGTATTCTAAGCTTAAAAGGTCTAATTAGAGTAAAAGAGCAATTTTGAACGTCTGACAAAAATAAACTATGGCAATGCTATTTCATAATAGATTTTTTTATGTGTTCCAAGCTTAAAAGGTCTAATTAGTCAGTTGAGGCATAGACACAAAGTAATGCAAAAATACAATTCTGCTTTGCCTTATTTTTGGGACCAATTTTGCAGTATTACCAAACAGGTTTCTGCAAAAACCTCACAAGTTTTATTTTCTTGGGAAATACAGACATATTGAAGGGAAAAATCTACTAAAATGTGAATAGTAAGAACAAAGCTTCAATTTTACCTGGAAAATTATATGCCAGACAATGTTAAATCACAGATATTCCAGCAGAAATTTGAGATTATTTCTATATTATTCATACAGCACAGAAAAAATGAGTGAGCAGAAGGTCTGGAAGCAACAAACCAGGTAAGGGATCCTAGGCTGGGATCCAAAAGGTCCCTTCTCTTGGCAGAGCAGGAAAATCCAAAGGGAGGGGTTTTCTTTGTGTCCCCCTCCCCAGCCTGGGATGAGGTGAAGGCTGGTAATTTCAGAGCCCAAAGTGCAGGATTTGGCCAGGAAGGGCAGCCTGACCCTGTTTGATGTTGAGAGAGAGAATTCCAGCAGCTTCTCTGGAGTAAACAGGAGATAAAGGGAGGAATGAAAGTGGCAGCCAGCAGGAACCCAGACCTCCTCCAGGAGTGGCTGCACTTAACTCAAAGTGCAGAAATTGCTCCCCTCCTATCCACTTATTTTCAGTCCAGTTTGCCAAAGAAACAGAAAAGCTGAGCTGGGATTTGAATTTCTGCTAAAACTCTGCACTCTGAAAGGGTCTCTGAATAGCAGGAGGCTCACAGAGCACCTCAGCTACAGGAGGGCACTTTCCTGAAACCCCTGGTTTAAAAGGGTTGTTTGGGCAAAGACACAGCTGTTAAAATCCTCTGGTGGGGGCATGCAAGGGTTTTCAGAAACAAAAAAACAGGAATGCAGGCAGGAACTGCAGGCTCATAGTGCAAAATAAAAAGAAATTAAAAAAAAAAAAAAGATGGTAAGGAAAGAAAATTATAATTTCCTGCCTTTCACTCAGCAGCTTTTTTCAACAACCAAACCAAAAAAAAATATGACAAATGGAAGACAAATTACTGAGGAACTCCAACTACAGAGAACAAAGGGAAATATTTCTCCTGAATTTCTAAGCTCTGCCTATGCAGGCAAACACTATCTGTAGTACAGACAAATAAACCCATCCCTCCTCAGCTGTAGCACTGAATCAGGAATGCTGCAGTCCAAAGCAAATATTTGGATTACATCTGACTCTGAAACATTGTGCCAGGATCTCCAACGCTGTGGAAACCCCTCTGAACTCCCTTCCCGGGGGTCTCTGTGTGCCCTGTGCCAGTGACACCCACTCCAAACAGGGCAGCACCTCCCCAGGAGCAGAGCTCTGCAAAGGGGCTGAATCCCCACCAGGCCCTGGGGAAGAGCTGCTGACAGCACAGGGGACTGTCCCTGGCAGCCCCAGGAGCTGGAGCTCTCTCCCATCCCTGAACAAGGCTCAGCTTTCCCCAGGATCAGGTGCAAGAGGAAAGCGGAGCCCGGGCTCAAGGTCACCTTGGCTGGGAGGGAGCTGCAGCACGAGGCTCCTCCAGGACAGATGGAGACATTTACATCAGCAATAAATGGCAGAACAGTTAAAAGCTGTTATTTCCTGCACTTCTGGGCACAGTGTCCAGCTGGAGGGGAGACATCCCCTCCCAGTGGGGCAGCACCACGGCATTAATGCCATGAAGGAGGAGGTCAGACCTTCCTCTGAGTCTGACACTTGCTGAGAGCACAGAGATCCAGCCCTGAAGAATTCTGCACATCATGAAAGACAACGTGAAATTTGTCTGTCACAAACCCCACTCAGCACTGGGGCTGGAGGAGCAATTAAAAGGAGGATCAGAAAATCAGACCCAAGGGATAAAAGCACCTGTTCTAACTAAAAACCCAAGGACAGAAAGACTCCAAAACCTCACACCACGTTCTCAAAAAGCTTTGAACCAGACAGGACAGCTTAGATTACTGACTTGGTATTCACCAAACCAGTTTCCATTGGAATTTTAAGGATCTGTCCATCCTGGTTACTAATTTATAGATACAAGTGGATTTACCCACTGGTAGTTTCCCACACTACTCTACAGCCATTGCTACTTTTTTTGCTAATCCTGACACTTGTTCTACAACTGGAGCAGGACTGGTGTCTCAGAAGCTGATCTTTACACTCCAGGCTGGTTATTCTGTGTTTTTTACAGCCCAGGCAGGTTCTCTGTGGGCTGCAGAACATTGCACCCATCTGGCAGGCAATTAGCACAGCTCTGCTCTCCCCGTGAACCCTTACCTTCCTCCCTTGCACTGCACCACTGACACACAGCTCTCAGCAGAGCAGAATCCAAACCTCCTCCTCAGGATGATGTCCAGGAGAACATTATAACTGGCTAATTATCAACCTTCCCTTGTCCCCATTCTCCTGAGTGCTGGCAGGACAAGGAAAGGAGGGAATCACTCTCAGGGTCACTGCAGGAAGAGCAGGAGCCTGCAGAGCCTTGCCCACACTTCCCAAGAACTTTTATAAATGAGTATATGGTAAGGAAAAAACCCCAAACCTGCCTGCACGTGAGCAAGGATAATCTAATTGTGCATGGGAGCATATAAATCAATAAAGTCATTTTTTAAATATAGGAAAGCTGTAGTAGTTAACTAAAAAGTGCAGGCAGCTCCAGTGCACACCCTCAGCTGATCATTCCTTAGGTCCCTGCTTAACCTCAAGTGAGATTTGAAGAAAGCTTTGGCCTCAAGGTGTAACAAACTCCCCCCTCAGCTGGGACCCCCAGTCAGGCATCCCAGGGTTAATTAACACGTGCTTTAGAGCAATATTAACCAGGAAGCTCAGAACAGACAAGTGCCATGGAGTGCAATGGGAATAAATTGGGCATCTCCTTCCACACTTCCACTTTGTGTCCCCAGATCTGCTCCGAGCTCTGCTGCTGCTTGTTCAGTAATTTCACGCTACGCTGCTTAACAATGTAAGCATGGAGGCTCCATCTAAAACTGCACTTCCCAAATGTCACTTGTTTGTGAACACATGGCTGAACCCAAAATTGCTTTTAATATTCGAGTGGTGCCTGCTGGCTCTGTTGTAGTTAAGGGTCTGTCTGAATTTCCATGATAAACCCCATTTTCTGGGGTGGAATACCATGACCACTCACTACACACAAACCTGCTTTACAAGGTCACAGCAGACAAACACCATTTTTTACATTTTTAAACCAAGGCTGCTTGGCTATTTTTGGGTTCCAGACACCTGACACTGATTTGAGGCCTCTTACAGTTTAAGGTTTTTCTTACCATCCCTTTAACAAATGCAAATGTCTGACCCATCCCTGGCAGTGTCCAAGGCCAGGCTGGACAGGGCTTGGAGCAGCCTGGGATAGTGGAAGGTGTCCCTGCCCATGGCAAAACTTCCCAGATTCTACTGAACGAGCTTTGCTGCAGTTATTCTGCAGACTTCAAGCCAGGAGAGCAGCAGTGCTGTCACAAACCAAAGCACACCAGGAATCTGCTCTAATGAGAAATAACCACACAAACATAACTCTCCAAACTTAACTGAGTGCACAGATTGGAGGAATTTGGGTATTTTCAGAGTGCTATTACCATAGTGTTATTAAAGCTTAAAAGTATTTCCAGCTTATTCCTTCCCCTCCAGTGTGTACCTAATGAGTTGTGCTCAGTTACATCAGTCACCTTATTCACCGTGAAACGCACTCTGGATGCACCAGAAAACCCATTCCAACTTACCAACCCCAAAACAAGCTGTTCACAAGGTGAATGCAACACTTGAGGAACTCATTCCTACACCCTCAGAATAACACAAACGATCAAGAGGCAGAGCCAGCAGCGTGGGACAGTGAGAGAGCACGTCCCACAGCAGAGGTGAGGAGCAGGCACAGCCCAGGGCTCTGTGCTCCCAGCTCACACACCTGTGTTGCCATCTTGCCGTAGTCGATCCAGCGCAGCGTGGCGAAGTTGGTGGACTCGGCGCAGTTGAAGCCGTGATTGAAGCCAGCGTGGTAACCATAAGGAAATGTGATCATAAACTCCCCAGCTTCCTGGGTGATCTGAAAAACAAAGGCAAAAGGAGGAGACACCCCACAGGTCACTTAATGCAGCAGCTGGAGAACAGAGACCCATTAAGAAACCCCAATGATTAAATCTCTTTCCACTGGAGGGTCGGCAGAGCAGCCATTGCCAGCTCTTGGCTGAGCCTGGAACATTCCTGGTGAACTGCAGGAATCCTCAAGAATTTCTCTTAAGGGAAAAGCTCAGAACAGCAGATGGAAGGGCATGATCTGAACTGTTTACACCTGCAGGCTCCAGCTACAGAAGGGTTTCAGGCTCCAACTTTCCAAGAGATCAATGAATCTTTGATGTGACCACTTTGGCTCATGGCAGTTCCAAACCTTCATCCCCACACCCATGCCAGAGCAGCCTAGAGCCCTGGATTTCCCTTCTAACATTCCCTCTGCATGGCAGGGTCCTTCTGAAGCACCTCCTGCCCTCCCTGTATTTATTTCCCCGCTCACATTTATCAGCCTCACTCACACCTGCTCACCCAAAAGTCAAACACCCTAAAGCTTACAGCCCATCTTTTGTCTGCCTGGGGAACTGCCCAGAGCAGCTGGGGCTGCCCCTGGATCCTGCAAGTGTCCAGAGCCAGGCTGGGCTGGAGCAGCCAGGGACAGTGGCAGTGTCCCTGCCATGGCAGGGGTGGCACTGGGTGGGCTTTAAGGTCCCTTTCAACATGAACCATCCTGTGACTCAACTTTAATAAAATTAAAACAACAATAAGCATTACAGACATTATTAACGAGAACTGAACTCTACAGATCACAGCTGGAACCAGAGGCAAATCAATCTTGATGCTTCTAAAAAAGCCCTCTTTTTATATCTTGTGCAGAAAAACCACTGGGAAAAAAAGAACTTTAATTGTTAAGAGCATGGCCTGAACCACGGGAGCAACTCCCAGCCCAGCTGCCCCTCGTGCAGCAGCACCTCCCCTCCACGGGGTATGGAAGAGGCAAAGCTTGACCTTCCCTGTCTTTCCAACCCAGCAGTGCTGACAGAGCTCTCAGAGCTGTCACAGGCCAAGAATTCCGGCTGGATTCCTTCCCACAGCCATAACTCACAGCTCTGAGCCCACAGAGGCTCCAGGGACTGCACTTCCAAACACAAGGATGGGGCCAAATGCAAGATGTAAACAGACACAAGTTCAAACATCTCCCCCTCAGATGGGCCAACATCTCAACTTGCTGATGTCATTAATTTAGCAGAGAGGGAATAAAAGCTGCTGTGATACACTCGAGGCTGCTGCAGGATCCCAGGAGGAGGTGCTCAAGTCCAGCCTGCATCCATCCCCTCCACACACCCCAGCAGTGCCACTCTGCTGCCTTCAAAGATGAACAGATCATGTTTCTGTCAGTGAAAGCACATCCCGGTGTCTCCATCTCAAGCCCACATCATCCATGGCACTGCTGTCAACATTATCCCACAATAAATTAGAAAACACTCCAGATGATGGATAGGCCATGCAGAAAAGTAATAACTATTGAAGGAAAGCCAGCACAAACTGCCACTCATGAAGAAAGCCCCAAATTTACTGACTTCTGCAAGCTCTTGAGGAATAAATGGAGAAATCAATAGGAGATTACAGAAATACACATTTTTAATTATTAAAAAGCCCTAGTATTGATCTGTTTCTTTTTTTCCAGAACAGCATTATAGAGATTTATAAATGCTGCCTATTTCAACTTCATTGAAATCCGCCAAGAATTCAGATGAAGGGATCCTATCTCTATTCCTGAGGAAAAGTGGCACTTGTTCCCTGCTTGTGAATAACAGTGATCCTCCTCCAACAGCCACGATTTCAGGACAGGGCTTGGAGCAGCCTGGGACCGTGGAAGGTTTCCCTGCCCATGGCAGGGGTGGGGCTGCCTGGGATTTAAGGTCCCTTCCCACTCCACAGTTCCATGGAACCAGTTTGGAGCAGGCCTCTGACACTTCCCACATGCACAGGCAGCTCTGGCTCCGTGTGCTGGGAGCACCCAGCAGCAGTTTGAGTGATTCTGCACAGATACAAATCCCTGTAACCACACTCGGCTGAGGAGATTTACTTCTTGCCACAAGACTTTTAAGAATAAGCACATTAAAACGATCATACCAAATAAACATGACCCCTCTTTTCAAATCAGGGCTTAAGAGCTGCAGGGATCCTTCCAGGCTTAGAGCAGCACCAACACTTACACAACAGGGAACCAGCACAGCCAGCTCCTCTTTGGGTCATACTGGATCCACAAGAAAATAAAGAAGTGTTTCCTAATCTCCAGTGGGTTTTGCTGCACCTGATGAGCCAGAACACCCTTATTAGCTCATCCCTCTCTACCTGAGAGGCTCCCTAATTGCCAGAGCTTGTTCAGTGCCAGCTTCTCCTCCCTCCAGTGTCTCAGCCAAACCCCAAAGCCTCCTTTCTGCAGGCAGGCACTCAATGTGACAATGCCCTTGGAAAGGAAGCCAGCTCCCCCCAGGCTCTGCTGAATCCACTCCCCAGGAGAGAGGAGCTGTGCTCCCCACAGGCTGCAGCCTCTCCTGCATCCCTGCACCTACCCTGTCAAAGGGAATGCCGTACTTCTTCAGGATGGAGGGAGAAATGAGGGTCATCTTGTGCCGGAGGAAAGCATCACATCCCTGAGAGCTTCCTGGGAAAAATCCTGTGGAGACATTCAGAGCAGGAGCATCACTACAGGAATGTTCTTGGGAAAACAATCAAACTGTTAAACTCCAGATCATCCTGCCCTACATATCACTACCTAAAGGGAAAAAATGTTAATTTTCAGTGAAAGGGAAGGAAATATCTCCATCCCAGGCAGTGGCACGAGGGACACGTTCACACTGGTCACCAATGAGTGGCAGAGGCAGCAGGGCCTGACCCAGTCAGAACCTCAACACCATTAAGTGGTAAATTCTACCCAAGGTCCACGCTGAGTTATTAAAACAAATCACAAATAATAAGAAAAATAAAACAGTGGTAAACACTGACCAAACCCCTCAGTGGCAGCTCAGCCAATGGAACCTGGTTTTCCCCAGGATCGTGGCTTTCCCTCCAAGTGGCTGATTCCATAACAGATTGTGTGTTTAGAGGGACTCAAACCCATCACAGTTTAGGAAAACAAATAACCCAAGCTCTGGAACCAAAAGTAATTGATGAGACATAATGGAAGGGGTTTCAGAAAGTCAAAAGGATTACTGGATTCCAGGTTTTCTTATATTTTTGTACTAAAAGCATTTCAATTAAAATTATGACTGTCTGCTACCCAGTCTGTCGTCCCTCTCTGCAGTTCCTCTTTTTAATGCACAGTTTAAGTGGCTCTCATTAAAGCCACTAATAAAGAAGCACATTTTAAGTGATTAGCACCAATAACATGGCAACACATTAACATTCTCTCCATGGGCTCCATGGCTCTCCCAGTGAGCCCATTTACAGCTCAGCTATTCATTTTCCATATTAATTGCACACTCATTTCTCCATAGTAAACTTCTCCCCACTGATGCACAGGACAGGGGAACGGCCAGGCAGCAATTTTGGCTCTTTGCAGAGTTAAATCATCACTCACCCAGCTTCCAGAGACAGGAAACTAAAATAAAGACCAGATCATTGATGATTTGCTCCTGGTTTTGCAGCACAAACCATCTCCGTGCCTCAAAATTGATCATCCGTAAAAATTAGTTACAAACAGCAAGAAACTTATTATTGCTCCTGTCAGACTTGGAGTGGTATTTCAGAGTCTGCAGAGCACAAGTCATCTGATTGATTGACTTCTTATAAAAATTACTTTTTTCATCTATTAAAACCTGGCAAATGACTGAGCTGTAGCTTTGAAATGCAACATTTCTGAGCAGCCATTTCCAGAGTTATTTGTATTTCGGGATCATGGAGCTCAGTGCCCAGAAAACAGCAGCACCAAGCCCCAGGACACTCATCCCCAGTTATTCTGCATTTTCCCCACACAATCAGTTGCTCCCCTTGACACCCTGGAGTATGCTCAGCAGGAAAAGGCAGCACAGGAATTTGCCTCTTTTCTGAGAAATCAGCATTAAAACTTCTTTTCTTTTGCATCAAAGTCTTCCAGATTTCCCTGCCTGCTCCTACCTTCACCACCAGATTTAAACCATTCCAGTTGCCTCACTGGAGATGAACCATGGAGATTTGGAGTTAATTATTCTGGGCCAGCAGCTTTTTTTAGCTGGGCAGCTCCTTGAACATTTGCAAGTGAACAAAAATAGAAACAACACCAACAAATTAAAACACATCCACTTCTGCAGCCAGACATCTTCCCTGAAGCTTGAGAGGTGGGAGTTTGCCACAGCTCAAAGTAACTCTGCCTTCCCCCACCTCCATTTTCCTTTTCTTTTTCCCTCCCTTTCTTTGTTTTGGGTTTTTTTTTTTTCTTTTTAAGATGAACTTTATGGCACTGAAAAATAGAGGATGAAGCTAAAATAAAAGGAAAACCAGCAAATACAGAATATATTTATAGGGTGAAGGAGCAATGGATACAAATTGGAAGAGGGGAAATTTAGGTTCAATATCAGCCAGAAAATGTCTGTTGTGAGGGTGGTGAGACACTGGAACAGGTTGAGGCTGCCCCATCCCTGGGGGCTTCCCTGGTCCAGGGGAAGGTGGCCCTGCCCATGGCAGGGTGCAGTGGAAGGATTTTTAGGGTCCTTTCCAACCCAAACCCTTGTGGATTAAACCCATTGCCCAGACATGAGGGCTTGGCCTCAATGCCTCAAAATTCAAGGTTTTTTCATGGAATTTTAGTTGAGGTCACGCCGTGCCAGGAGTCCAAGGCTCGGAGGGAAGAGTGGGAAGGAAAATCCCTGCCAGGTTCTCTGGCTGAGCAGGAGCAGCAGGACCCAGCCCCAAGGCAGAGCTCACCTTTGGCCAGGCGTTCCAGCCTCTTGCCGTGCTCCGGGGGAATGGCATACCTGGCAGGAGGGAACAGAAATCAAAACATCAGCTCTTAGTGTAGAAACAGTGAAAGGAAAAGGCTGGGAACAAGTGGGGTGATCACCCTCAGCACAGCACACAATGGCTGGCAATAAAACCAAAATTCTCTGTGTCTGAGAGACATCAGTAACACACAATCCAAGGGAAAAAAACAGCATTTACTACAAGTCCTTAGACATGTTACATGAAGTGTGTGATTTTCCTGCCACTTTCTCAAACAGCATCACAAGATCTCACAAGGTAGAAGGAAAATCGAGAAGACAAAGTGATACAGCACTGGAAACCTCAGGAATAAGTGAGTGCAGGGAACAGCAGGTGTGTTCTCCATGGGGAAAAATATCTGCAAAATAAAACTCTGCTAAACATTAATAAGCAAGAAACGGATGGGCTGAAAAGGTGTGAAGGAGGGTCTGTGTGCTTTGGAAAAGAATAAACCTTCTGTGTAAACAGCTTTCATTTATTCAAAAAGGTAAATATTCTTCAGCACAGCTCGAGGAGTCATGGCTCAATCCTTATGTCCCTGCTGGATTTCAGTGTCTGATGTGAAAAAATGGAATTAAAGTATTCAACATTTTTCTTGATGAGGTGACCCTGAAAATGCAGGGTCTGCTGATGAAAACATCATTAAAAGGTGTAGAGAACAATTTCTTACAGTAGGGGTCAACAAGGTGCAAAAGAATTTGATTGGAATTTTTTTTTTTTAGTGCAAATTATTGAACATAATTCTGGAAAAACAATCCACTGTCCCAGAGGTCTCAGACACAGGGCTGGGTGTGCCCAGCACGTACAAACACCAGGGAAGTTTCAATGGCTTTTTCTCCCCAAAAGCTGTTAGTTCTCTCAGTGCTTTGAGGTTCCCAGTATTCTCAGGAGCAAAGCCAGGTGACAGAGATTTATGTGTTCAGGTTATAAGAGGGGAACTGAATACCAGGATCCATTTAAATGTGTTTAACATGATGACACACAATAATATTGCCAATGGAAATCTGTAAATCATTGGTTGCATTCTGCAGCAAATTAAATATGGCTCTCCCCGATTTTTGTGACAGAGAATTCTGAGAATTTACATTTGTGGCAATGGCATTTATTGCCAGCTATAACTTCTCTTCAAAGTGAATAATAAAAAATACATTATTTTTGCTATTTCCAATAAAGATGCCAAAGCCACCCTGTCTCCTACCCCAGGCTGGGATCAGGATATTGCAGGAGGGGACTCAACAACAGGTGCTGGGCTGGGGGCTCCCAATGCACCTGATTCTGGGGGATTGCAGCCAGACAAATTCTGCATTTTCAAGTGTCAAAGCAGGACTGGGGAGAAGCAGCTGCAAGGCCCAAGCTGTGTCAGGAAATCCAGCACACCTGGGCTGGCCCGGAGGGGGATGACAGCACACAAACCTCACGCAGGGGCCTGCAGGGTTTAGGCACTAAGCTGATTTCAACTGATGGCTTAAAAAAAATTTAAGGCCAAATACCACGTAGCACCAAATCTTGTAAAATAATAAATGCAGCTATGGACTCACAACATCCCCTGACCAAAGTTTGACAGTGCCTTAAATTGCATAATTATCAAACAATTCAATTTCATTTGTCTGGGACAAAGCTAGTGGCTTTTATTTTACAAAGACCATTCATCACTTACATAAATGTGATAAAACTAATCCCGATCCAAAGCTCCTTTGTGGGATTAATGTCCCTTAAAACAGGGAAATGAGACATTCCATTCCTTCTGGGAAAAATGCTGAAGGATTGGGAAAGAACTAATTTATGGCTACAAGGCTGCTGATGATTAATGTAATATCCCCAGTCTACAATGCAACCTTCACTTAATTAGTGCCTGTAATTGGGAGTTGTAAAGATAAGATTAATTGAATCTGGAGGATGTTAAAAGTTTAATACATTGGAACATGGTTATTGTGTTATCTGAAACTGCAGCCTGCAAAAAGCCAAGCGAGGCTTTAGAGAACAGCCCATGGAGAGACAAAGAAAAAAGAATTGCTTGGATAGAAACCAGCCAGAGAGGAGGAATTTCCAGCTTATAAAAAAGAACTATATGTAATAGTATACAAATCAAAATACCCCAGCACAGAATGGTAATAGCTGACTCCAATTTTAGAAATTAACTTTTTTCTTTGGGCCAGCCTTTAGGAAGCAGAGCCTACACATCCCTCTGCATTTATTCTTAGGAATTCAAAATATTAACTGCAGAAGAGAATTAAAACTAGGTCAAATTCTGATTTAAGTTATGCTCAAAGATCTGACTGATTTACATGAAGATAGGCTATAAAGACAGAATTTGGGCTGCTATTTAAAACCAGGAAGAGAAACAGAAGGCTCCTGCGTGTACGGCACAGACTGAGCTCCATCTACACACAAAATGATTGATTACAAGGCAGAACAAGGAGGGAAAGATGAAAAATTCTGCAGCCCAAGGGGGCAGTCACTGAGGAATGAACAGGCAGGAAGGGCTGGCTCTGGGTGCCACCGCTGCCACCGACCCCTGCTCGCTGTGAGGAGGGACAGCAGTTCTGGTGTCCCTCGGTTTGTCACCATCCCTGGGGCTCAGCTCAGCTGCAAAACCTCAATTCCACAGGCAACCCACAGGTCTGGGCACGGTAAAAAATATCCAAGAATTTCCTTTTCTACAGGCATGACTTCAAGAGCCCCCAGTGCTGGAACACTGACCTGGATCTGCCCCCAGGCAAAGGGACATTTATGGCCACAGAGCCAAACCCGCAGCTGAGAGAAGAGAAATCAAACTCCCAGGGAACTGGGCTTGCAAACCACCCTCCAGTCTGTGCTCCAAAACTTGCACAGGGTGATCAAGACAAAGGGCCAGGCTTCACCCAAAACCCTGCCACTCAGCAGTTTGGGGATTACAGCAGGAAAAATGTGCTGCTGCTCTGCCAGGGAACGCAGGATTTACACAACAGGGAAAGAAAAACCAGCTCAAGATACAAAAAGTTATAGTTTGTGACTCAAATGTCATCTTACCCCCAAGTCAACAACCTGAAAGTAATATACTGAGCCTTTTAAATTACCTTTTTCTACTTTCCACCAAAACAACAGAAAATCCCTGAAGTGGATCAAGTACTACTTGTACACATCTAGAACTTGCTGTTCTGTGGGAATGACTCTCAGCTTCCAAATTTATTTCATGAAACCTAATTCCAGCATTTCTGATCTCTACTTCCATTTTCTGAGTTCTTGAGTCAGGATCACAAGTCCAAAAGGCTTTGCCCCAAAGCTATAAATGTATTAGAGAATGATCTTCCTGGAGTGGTGGCTTGCTTTTGCTAATATGGACTCATGGAATCCCAAAGCGTTTTGGGTTGGAAGAGATCCTAAATATCCATTTCCACCCCAGCCATGGCAGGGACACTGCCACTGTCCCAGGAGCTCCCAGCCCCAGTGTCCAGCCTGGCCTTGGGCACTGCCAGGGACCCAGGGGCAGCCCCAGCTGCTCTGGGCACCTCTGCCAGGGCCTGTCCCCCTCCCAGCCAGGAATTCCTTCCCAACATGAGTTTAACTGGACAGCTCCCTCTCTACCCTTAACACAAAAGAGAGGTCTGTCCTATTTGCCATCATAGGATATCATTAATAGAGTAATTTTCTTGGTGTTTTGTTTATTCCCCTGGAATGGGGCTTGATGGATGTGGATAATTATCAGACTATAAAAGCCAGCAAATGTGCTATTTTCTATCGCTCTAAATCATCAAACAAATAAAGTGTGAAACAGCATTTCTGAATACAATTTTCCCCTCTAATGGCTTAGAATTATTATCAGGAACAATGAGAATAAATAAGCAAATGTCTTGTGAATTAAGAATTAAACAAGTGTGTCAGTAAAAAGGAGCATTCAGGCCATCCTGGGATGGAGGGACCCCTTTGGAGGCCACCAAGGAATGACGTAACAAGGAATTCATTTGGGCAGCTCCCAGATCCTGGTGCTCCTCAGGGACCTCCCAGTCCCAGGCTCTCCCCTCACTGCTGCTTCTCAAAGGGAGTCAGCTCAGTTTTGGCTTCCAGTGGCCAAAGAACTAAAACTTCATCCACAGCAAAGGCCTGCTCACAGCTGTCTTCTCCTTATTTGAGAGGAATTTTCCTCACCTGAAGCCATCCCTGCCTTTGGCAGAGGACCAGACCATGCTGTCCCTTCACCCAACATCCCTCAAAGCTTCCAAGACCTTTTCCCACTCCAGCTGTCGCTCCCAGAGTTGTTGAGTTACACCTTGTTCTGCACCTCATTTCCACCCTCCTGCACCAACACAGAGCAATTAAGCAGAGATTATTTCACCAAATCCCACTCCCCACTCTCTGGGAGTCTGGGCTCCATGGGCAGGGGCAGGTTCAACCACGAGACTCTGGAAATGTCACTCCAGTGCTGTTCCTGGGAGAAGGTAAGAAACTCAATTTCACAGTGTGTGCACAAGGTCTGCCCAAGCAGGCCCCACACAGTTTAACACACCATAATTATGGAATAAGGAACAGAAACAGAACGGGAGCAGCACATTTAAAACGCCCAGGCCAACGTGTCAAGCTGGGGTGAGTTATCTGTCTTCAAAGCAGATTTAATTGTGCCAAGAACAGTGACCCTTTAAGATTCAAATGCCAACCTGCTCTCAGCCACGACAGGCAGAATGAAAAGCTGCTATTCCAGTCTCTGTAAGGCAAAGGGTGCCCATAAACCCAGAATCTGAACCCTGACCTTCAACATCTTTAGCCCCCATGACAGCAGCAAAGCCTCCAAAGAAAAGCCCCTGGTCCATCAGGAATATTTATCAGCCAGCAGAACCATTAAGAACAGCATTAGCACAGGCTGGCCCCTCCCTGCAAGGTTCAGATCCTGCTCCTGAGGCCTCATTTTTCTACAAGGTAAAACATTAAACAACATCTCCTCAGTGTGTCAGAGCAAAGCTCAGGGTAAAAGTGGGCAGAACGCTAGAAGCTCCCAGAATATCCTGAGCTGGAAGGGACCCAC